TGTGTACAATGTGATTTTGCAACAAAATGTAGATCTATTTTTAAAAAACATCTGTTAACTCATAAGGCTTCCAACCTTTTTAAATGTGGGCAGTGTGATTTTGCATCCACTTATAAATCCAGTTTTAAACGACATGTGTCGTCGCACAAACGTGTTACGGATTTCAGATATCCACAATGTGATTTCATAACTAACTCTAGATCTGTTTTAAAACGCAGCGCTGTGAAGGATTTCAAATGCAATCAGTGCGAGTACTTAACTAAGAAGAAATACCACTTACGAAGCCATTTGCTAACACATAACGCCAAAGATTTAAAATGTGCTCAGTGTGATTACTCAACTAATAATAAATCTCGCTTTAGAGAGCATCTTCTGACGCACAAGACTTTCAAGGAGTTAAAATGTGCGCAGTGCGATTACGCAACCAATATTAAAGCCCACCTTAGAGATCATCTCGTGACGCATAAGATTTTCAAGGATGTAAAATGTACAAAGTGTGATTTTGCAACCAACTGTGAACGCAATTTGAGAACTCATCTGCTAGCACACGACCCTTCCAACCGTTTTAAATGTGTCCAGTGTGATTTTGCGTCCACTTATAGATCTAGTTTCAGACGACATTTGTTGTCGCACAAACCCGTCATGGATTTAAAATGTGTACAATGTGATTTCGCAACTAACAGTAGATCTACTTTTAAAAAACATCTGTTGACACACAGCACTGTCAAGGATTTAAAATGTACACAGTGTGATTATTCAACCAACGGTAAACGCAATTTGAGCATTCATCTGTTAACGCACGAGTCTTCCGACCATTTTAAATGTGTCAAGTGTGATTTTGTCTCGATTTATAAAGCCAGTTTTAAACGACATCTGTTGTTGCACAAATCTGTCAAGAATTTAAAATGTGAACAATGTGATTTCGCAACCAACTGTAGATCTACTTTTAAAAATCATCTGTTAACACACAGCACTGTGAAGGATTTAAAGTGTACACTATGTGATTATGCAACACACGGTAAACGCAATTTGCGAGCTCATCTGATAACGCACAAGTCTTCCAATCATTTTAAATGTGACCAGTGTGATTTTGCATCCGCTTATAAAAACAGTTTTAAACGACATGTGTTGTCTCACAAACCTGTGGAGCATTTAAAATGTGTATGATGCGATTTCGCAACTAACTGTAGATCTACTTTTAAAAAACAAAATAACACTGAAGGAGTTAAAATGTACACAGTGTGATCATTCAACCAACGGTAAGCGCATCTCAGGTGCAATTTTATAACGCATCAGTGGACACAAAAAATTGTACGTTTACATCTCAATATGTTATGTCTATTTCATTTGACATTTTTGTATGATGGATATGTAAGGATCAGAATCCGCCACTGTATGTCACATATTTTGATAAATAAGTTTTTTTATACTAAGTTCCAAGTCGCTTACTAATCAATTTCATTATGGGCGCATGTGTTTTGCTTTTATGAATTTGTTAAACTTTCGGGGTTTTTGTCCCGCCGAAGGTTTCCATGGTGGACGATTGTGTGCGTAACATATTTTATATGTTCTTGTCTTGTTTTACGCACAAAATTTCAGGGACAAGGCGAAGTAATCAGCATCAATAAACATAAATTAAACAAGCACTGTAAACAATTACAAACAATAGCATAACGGTATCACATGTGATTGTGCATTGCGGTTAAACCAAGTAAATTTCAAAAACAAAGATTCCAAACACACACAAAATATAAAATGTGGCATACAAAACACAAATACGATATAAAGAAATGCAAACATTACTACCTGCATTAAATAACACAAAGTAACAAACATTTATGGAGCGGCGCGTTCAGGACCGCCATTCAAAACAAAATGCCAAACGTAACCCCCGTTCGTGCTTTTTAGATGGCGCAGGCAGCTTTTTCCCACCTAGAAATTGCATGGTTGCCAATTCTCAAAAATGTATGTATCTTCGTAAGTTGTATATACAGGGTGAAACCTTTCAAAATCTGATATGTTTTATGGGATTATTTATTTGAATAGACATCAAAATAAGACAACGAAATTTTGATTCAGAAATGACCGTGCAAATTTTAGGTCACATCTAATATTAATTAATCTGACTTTTCGAGTTAAAAAGTGAAATTGAAGATGAACTACAATAGGCAAGTTCGATATTTTTTAATTTTAACTGAAATCGAGATTTTGTTATTAAAAAAAAACGATCAAAAAAATTTGGGTGCAAAATATTGATGTAGGTAAGCATTTCAAAATCAAATCAAGTCGGCGCGAAGCAAGAAAACGTGCCTGACCGATTTCAGGGTCAGCTAGAGACACGCGGGTTATTGCTCATGCCTTTTTATCTCTAATAGTAGATCATGTGTAATTTTTTTCAGTAAAATTACATACTTTGTTGGTCGGTTTTGGCTAAAACATTATATACCATAAGCATTGCCCAATCCGATCAATTAAGCGCATTTTTAGGGTACGCTATTCACATGACTTTCAACAAGTCCACAAGAAGTAGAAGATTCAAAATGTTCGGACCAAGATGGCGGCTAAACGGTAACGCGATTTTCAAAAAGTTCAGGATTCCAAGAGGTCCGGAAGAAGTCGAAGATTAAGGAGATGTCCACAAAAAATAAGGTGGCAGTCCAATATGGCGGCTTAAAATGGCGGATCAACCGCAAGAAACAAGATGGCGACAGAGTTCAAGGGGGTTGGGCGCGCTTTCGAGAAGGAAACAGTGAGGAGTGATAATAATGATCGTAAAGTGAAGCCCACATTTGTTATTTCACCGAAAACTAACCTATAATTACCTGTGAAACGAAATACTTTCGTATTTTCCGTGCACTACAATGTAGGTACCATTGTCCAATAATGTTTTAAATCGCACACTTCGAGACTTAAGGATCGCATAAACACGAAAATGAAAAATTAAACAAACTTTGGCTCCGAAAATATGGCCGCCCCAGGCTTCAACGCGCAGCATTGCCCTTGATAGGATATTATCAGGGCATCGATTCCCGAAGTTGATCGATATGCTCCGTGATGTGACCGGCTGCCATGACGTCATGATCGTATACGATAGGGATAAGTTCAAGTTTAGCTGAATTCCCGAATCGTGGCCAAACTTTATGCGCTAACCAATCACAGACAAGAATTGAACTGTCATTTGTCAGTTTTGTATTTTGTTTTGTTTTTGCATTATGGATACTGCTATTAATAACCAGAAAATCCTCGAACAATTCCATGTTTTATTTCACAGAAAATATGTGAATTTATAGGTTAGGGCACTGAATAACCTCTATAGCAAAACAGCTGCAAGATCCGTCCTGTAGCTGCAACTGCGCATGACTTTCACGCAACGAGTGGTCTAGACCAGTCGTTCCGTTCGATCAACTTTTCGCTCGATGTGGTAGGGTCGAGAATGCAGTGAACATTCACGTTCACATCAAGGTCAGTTGATGTGAACGAAGCACATCTTCGGGAATCGACGCCCTGTCCCGTTTCTTTCATAATCGAAGGGGCTCGCAATAGCAAAAGACCTAAGAATGCAATCTTAGATTTCTCATAAGAAGAAGAACTAATATGGTATTTTGTCCAAAAATCCAAAAAATGTGCGAGACAGTAGAATGATGGTAGTTGATAAAAAATACAGTGATTTTATAGAGACAGTGGCGACAATAGGAGCCCAGCGGCCATGTTGCATCCAAAATTCAAATGGGAAGGTAGGCAACACACAATACACGTATGACATGTGTTGCGTATACTAAAATACACATATTAAAGGAGTAGACAACTTACTTACTTATACTTACACCTACTGTGAATGAATATTTAATAAGCGTTTTTTATTAGTACAATTAGCGATATATAAAACAACACAACAATGATTTATTTATTGTGCCTCTGAAATCTCCTCCTCGAGCCTCCCATTCAGAAAATTTTCGAATCCACGAGTGACCAACCTTGTCTTGTATGTTGTCAATTCTGTACTATTCGTCCATTCTGCTTCCTTGAAAACAACAATTTTCAATTGATCACAGCACGGTTGCTTCCGAACTTGCTCGGTGGTTGACGCTTCCGTCACGGAAGTGATAACTCATTACCAGATGGTGGTTTTGGATCTTCCATCGCTAATATCAGGCTGTCATTTGTCATGATGCTATTTTTTATAAGAATATCATGGGACCTGGACTTCAAATTTGTCAACCAGTGACGTTGTTAAAAATGTGGAAACACAGCTTAAATAGTAAATAAGCTGTGAAACTCGATGCAACATGGCCACCGATCTTAACGACCAATCAAAAATTAGACACTGTCACCACTGTGTCTATAAAGCACGGTCGTATAACGGGCGATCAAAAATGAATTGCTGTCGAGTCGCCTTTGGAAGTTCAAGTTAAGTACGATTTCCCATGTAAACAAAAATTTCAAAGGTGACTCGACAGCAATTGATTTTTGATCGCATGGTATATACGACTGTAGTAACAGTTGCTAAGCGCTTTCTTTCGGTGATCCAAACGCGTTTGGATTGTCAAATAACGTTCTTTCGAAGTGTGATGTTATAATCATGATTGCTAAAATCGTGAACATAAGTTTTATGACACGAATTCCTAACATATAAATAAATGCAAGGATATTTTTGCTCCAATGTTAGATTAGTCAATATTTGTAACCGAAGAGGAGCATAATCATGCAAGTACTTCACTTGTATTTAAATTATTTTCATAATCCTAACAAAAAATACGTAATTCGAATGCAAATGTGCATTATGTAAACTAAATCATACTTTGATTTAAATTCGCGCGTTCTTTCGTAAAACGTGATCCTACGAATCACGATCTCGATATCATGATTGCGAAGTAGCCGAAAGAAAGCGTCTCCTTTCGTTGTAATTTCGTGTCTCGGTGAGTACACCAGGCTTTAGCAAATTTGTAGTATTTATGAAAACGCGGCTTTATGTGTGGGTACTTTTGGTGGAAAACTGAAAATACTAAAATCCCCAGATCCATCCATGTCTGTTTTGTAATCCCAAAATCAAACCATCAAATTTTACAAGCTTCAAATTTTAATTACTCCATTACATCATGTGCCGTCAGCAATAAATTTTTGTCACTTTAAATGTAGGTCGCGTTTCACTTGCAAAAAATAATGGGAATCGTTTACGCGAAGGTAGGGCCCCGCTCACTACACCGCAGCTGCATTCTAATCAATCTTTTTAAGGATAAAAGTCACGGAATACAAGCTCCCAAGATCAATTACGATGATTGCGACAGCGTCGAGACGCGCGAAATAAACCTTGAAGGTGTTAGGGTATCCTTTACATGCAATTGGCTACGGACGAGCGCCTAAACACGCTCATTTTTCAGGCTCGCGTCGACCGCATTCACATAAACGGCTTGGCGCGGACGAAGAACGACTATGTCGAAGGTGCCGTGCAGGACCTCTTTCAGGCGGTCGATTTCCAAGACGTCCTACTTAAGGCGCACACCGTAAGTCGCTCGGATAAACCGCCGACCGTATTAATTCAAACCGTAGGTGCGTAACAAGCTTAACTCGTTGGGTTGCTTTCAAAACATCGGCGTCTTCATCGACACGAGCAAAGGTGCGAAGGCCACACCCGAGGGTCTCGAAGTTACGTTTTACGTGCGCGAACTGAAACGAGTCATCGGGGGCATAAACACGCAGGTCGGCGAAAACGAGGGCTCGCTGGTGATCGGTTTGCGCGCGCCCAACATGTTCGGTCGCGGAGAGCGCGTACAGACCGAATTCAGTTACGGTTCGAAAAACACCAACAATTTCAACGTATCCTTCATTAAACCGTTTACGGGAAAACGTAGTCCAGTGTACGTAAGCTTCGTTTAAAGTAGGGATTTGGGTCTACGATAGTAGCGACTATAGGATTTAGTCATGGTTTTTTTTAGATTAAGATATACAGGGTGTTCCTATTTAAAAAAATGAGGTTAGGTCTGATAACTAGTTTTTCTGATCCCGTATAATGGACCTACTTATTGGTTAAGTGGCAAGGTTGTCAGACTATTACATGGAACAAACTGTGTTGCTGGAGCTGTAAATGTGCACACTTGTACAGGTGAAAGAAAGAAAGACAGAAAAGATTATAATTTTATTTAAATGTACAGGGTGGCCAACTAAGAATGCGAGGTACTGTATCTGAGAACCTATTCATCGTAGAGGCTTGCGGTAAAAAAAGTTATTGTTAAAACGGCCACGAGAAAAACCTGGAAAATATTTTTAAGTTTCTGAAATGGCCACTAGGGGGCGTAACTGCAATCATCTGGAATCTAAAAAAGTGATGTTTCTGTGAATTCCGCTATATTAACTTAACAGAAAAAATGTCCAGTCTTTGAAGTCGACGATAATCTGAACCTTTTTTGTTTGATAATTTTTCCTGTATCTCTAAAAATGAAGTGGTGGGGGGTATTCAAAGGTTTCCGTAAAGAACACTCTGTATCTTCGAAACGGCTTTGTCGATTTAAACAACCTCGGGTTAGTTCAAAAGAGCTATTCTTCAGCTACAAATATTATAATATTTGGAAGTTTTGTTAGTTTCACATATCACCGCTTGAGGGCTTTTTTAGACATTCCGACAGAAATGGTTAATTTTCTCAGAAAAATTAAATGCATTGGTTCGATTTTTTTACATGAAAAAGCCGCCACAGACAGCATTTAATGAAATTTTTTATATTTTAAGTATACGGTCAATTTTTTTAATGTTTTTAAACAATTTTATTTGCAATATGTTAATGTTGTAACCTTTTGTTAAATTCGTAAATATAATATATATTATTTGATAAAAAAAAAATTAATTCGCGTTAATTCAAATTAATTCTCTTTAATTCAAATTAATTCACGTTAATACCGCGACAGATAGCATTTAATGAATTTTTTTATATTTTAAATATACGGTAAATTTTTTTAAATGTTTTTAAACAATTTTATTTGCAATATGTTAATGTTGTAACCTTTTGTTAAATTCATAAATATAATATATATTATTTGATAAAAAAAATTACTTCACGTTAATTCAAATTAATTCACGTTAATACCGACACAGACAGCATTTAATGAAATTTTTTTATATTTTAAGTATACGGTAAATTTTTAAAAAAATGTTTTTAAACAATTTTATTTGCAATATGTTAATGTAACCTTTTGTTCATTCATAAATATAATATATATTATTTGATAAAAAAAAATTAATTCATGCTAATTCAAATTAATTCGCGTTAATACAATTTAATTCACGTTAATTCAACCAAAAGTTCAAAGTTGTTTCACCCTAGGTTGGCACATTGCTCGGCTTCGCCTCGCACATTAAAACATAACCGGCCCGTTGGGAGGGGCGGGGGGGAGTTGGTTGTGCACTGGAAGGGTATGAATTCAAGACCAACGTAGAAAAAACCGCATCGTTCTCACCGTCGGAATAAACGCTGAAATATGAAAAAGTGCCATTTATTGGCAGGTTGGTAATGGGGGAGATGCTTATCATGTAAATGCCACCTAGTGTCATGCTTGTTGTATAGGAGCAATTTCCCGTACATTCTACAAAGCGACCAGTCGATATGCGATACCAACGTAAAAATCAACGTACTAGTTCTCTAGTGGCATTTTTCAGTAAGCGTGGAGGGGGGGGGGGGGGGGGGATAAACGCCAAACTATGAAAAAGTGACATTTGTTAGCTTGGAGGGGGGGGTGTAAATGCAACTTTCTTTATAGGACCGTTGACACTGTCATTGGCTTCGCCTCGCACATTAACGTACACAACCGAAGTGATATTTGTTTGGAGGTGGGAGTATAACTTACGCTCCCCTATGCGACTCGACTGCCGTAAATATTTGTTTGGGCGATTATTCTATAGATGGCGCGGACTGTGCGTGGCATTAATACGTAACCTTTTGACTAGATCACATTGTTGCCACTATCGCATACCCCAAAGTCCTACTCCGGTAGCTTCTTATCTCTATGCTTTGCACATGACCAAATTTGCAGATTTTCATCATCCATCTACCAAGCGACATCGGAATGGCCCTCCTCCGGCTATAAACAAGTGGATCTCGGCCTAATTTTGGATTTCGGATTGCACTCGTGGCCCTTGGTACGAGCAAACGGTGACAAAACGCCTAAAACATTTTTGTTAGTAGATTAAACACAACTTTCAATGGGACGTCGCCATACGAGATCTCTCGGTATTAACGAAGGGCTCGTCGTTCGCTATACGCGAGGAATCCGGCGTTTCCCTGAAATCCGCCCTGAGACATATCTTATCGGTCGACGTTCGCGACGATAATATCTTCCCGTCATGCGGTAGCCTATTTAAATATACGACGGAGTTCGCCGGCGCCGGCGGCGATGTCGGCTTTGTTAAGAACGACGTGTTTTTGCAAACGAATTACTCGCTGTTCTCCGACTGTGTAGGTTTCGTATTTGATCAGACATTTTTTTAGCGACTGTTCCACAGGTAGTACAAGCTTCGGCGAATGCTGGGATTTTAAACTCGTTGGGCAACGATTGGAGGCTCGGATTGATGGATATGTATTACTTAGGGGGGCCATTGTCGCTGCGCGGTTTTCGCATGCGAGGTGTGGGTCCCCATTCTGAAGGCGATGCCTTAGGATCAACTGTAAGTATTTGAAACCACCAAAATCGAAGAAGCCGGATTGTGCGGCAACAATATATTGTGGTTTGTTGTATTTTTTTTTAATTTTCAGTGGTTCTGGGGCAGCGGTCTGCACTTGTTCACCCCGCTACCGTTTAGGCCGGGCAAAGGTGGCTTCGGTGAACTTTTTAGGACGCATTTATTCGTTAACGCCGGCAACATTGGCAACTTCGAAGGTCTGCTAAAAGATCTCTTTGTCCGAATTTCTTATTTTTGCATTTGTAGGTGAGGAGGCCTTTGTTGAAAAAGTGAAAACGAACATTAGAGTCGCGTACGGGATAGGGTTAGCAATGCGATTGGGACAAATGGCCCGTATTGAAATAAATTATTGTTTTCCGCATAGTTTTCAAGAAACTGACTTATCACAACCGGGTGTTCAATTTGGCATAGGTGTACAGTTTTTATAATGCGTGTGGAAGGTAGAAGTCATCTCTGTGCATTTAATAGTAGGATATTTACCTGTAAATAAAACATACTGTACTTTTTGTGTTTTTTATTTTCCATGTGGGTGGTGTGGCGATTCATAAGACGGAAGCTTCGCTGCGCGTTATGGGTTTGTCCTCGATTAAGGGAGAGAAGGACCGAGGAGTTTTTTTTAGCCGAAGCAGAGAAAGGTAGGTGTCTGTGTACGTGTTTGCTTCACGAATCTAGATGAAGACCCTAGAGCTACTCTGTCGTGAGAGGGACTTAAGTAAATGTTTTAACGATTTAATTAAATTTCGCTTCTCACGACGAAAATGGCTCGCATTTCTCGTACACCAATTGGTGGGGCTTTCCCGTATACCCGTCCCTCTACGTCCGTGGCGGCAAACGCCGATTACCTACGGCCAAACACGCGCTACGCCTTTTCAATCGTACATCTAAACCTAAGAAAAACGGCGATCTTTGCGAAAACGTAGATCGGTAACAAAATACTGATTCGCTAACATTATTTTCGGCCCGGAACGCTTGTTCAATATAAACAAAATTGTAAAACCAACTTTAAGGTCGGCATGTTTCGTGATCCGTCAAGTTTTTCGACGCAACCGAGTCCCCCGTGGAAAGTTGAGGTGAAATTCATATGCTCAAAATTTTGTCTGTTCACTCCTTAAATTTGCAAAAAAAAAACCCTTAAAACATGCACCGATGACGTCATCATTCAAGCGTTTTTTGGCGATTTTGAGTTAAATATGGCGCGGAAACGTCCATGAGGGGTCTTAAACTATCTAAAATTTGGATCCACACGTGTTAGAAGACTTGCCGCTGAGAAAAGGCGTATTTTCTAAAAATGTGAATATTCCGCCATTTTTAAACATAAACGTCAAACTGTCGGACGAGTCCATGTTGCCAATAACGAAGGTGGGTCCACAGTCGCGGAGCTATATTTGCGAAATCATGAGGAACGGATACGAGAAACTCCCGAAATTGTCTTTTTGGAGCGTCAATATAACCTTTACGGTAAGTAAAAATTATCCGCGAGGCTTTACGCCAATTTCCCTCTTAAAACGTAAGGCCGGGCTTTAAATGTGTGCAAACTACGTTCTACGGAATTCATTGAAGGTCTATCGTTAATACAAATGCATATAGGAGGCAACAAAAGGGCGGACGAGTTGGCTCGTGAAGGCAGCGGTGGGGTCTTCGTCAGGCCCGAGCCTACCATAGGGATTGCTCCCTGCGTTGTCAGGGCCAGGATTAAATAGTCAATTTCAGGCTCAATGGCAACAAGTTAACCGGACTCAGACAGTCCAAGGCCTTTTTAACAGTACCCCTTGGTAAGTTTCTAAAACTGAATAGAAGCCAGATTAGGAAGATCATCGGTGTCATTACTGGATGGTCAACTATCACCTGCATAACATTGGGCTCGCGGAGGAGCCCACGTGTAGGTTTTGTGACGAGGCAGATGAAACTACCGAGCATGTGGTCTGTCAGTGTGACGCTTTGATCAGAGACAGATCACCAGCTCTGTGATAATCCACCCTTATGGTTGGACAACGCACCTTTTACATCTGAAACAAAAATATGAAATGCTCTGCATATAACCAATCGACCGTTTTGCGCAGATGCCGAATACTAAGGGGAGAAAGAAGATGGCACCCGGGACGACGGAAGGCATCATATTTACAGGCACCTAGTAACCATTTTATTCTTTCTTGTAGGTACTAACTATTAATCATTGAATTTCTTGCCACAATTTGATATTATTTACATTTTGCTGATTTTGTATAAACTGCGATATCTAAGTATGGCGTACTCTATGCTTTTGTTTTTGAGTACCGTTAGATGAATCGTATTTGTTATATACTGTAGCGGTACAGGTGATTATGCCATTATTTTGTTTTATTCGGTATTTATTTCTGTATTCAGGAGTAGCTGATTATCAGTGCGCTGTTGCTCTGTTCGACTGATTCGTAACTATTCCGTGAGGGAACTACCTAATACACAGTTTGATTGTTCGCTGTATCTGTTACTTTCTTATTCGTGGCGCGCTGCAGTTCTTGTGCGTTAGTTATACGAAGGGGGGCTATTTAATTTTTCGACGTTTGTGTGTGTCTCCGTGGAGTAGGTACCTAATACAGTTCGATCTTTCGCTGCATCTGTTGCCTACTCGTCTCGTGCGAATTGCAGTTCTTGGCATCTTAGCAATGCGAGATATTTAGGGGCCCTCTCATAAACATTTCCTCTATTTAAAATATGTTCTGCTTGAGCGATATTCGATTTTCACATGAATACTTGCTATTGGCATTCTCATATGTATACTTTTTGTGATAAATTAATTTACGTACTGAAGGCTGGAGTAGAGTCATTTTGATGTTGCCTATGTACATGCAATTTATTATTTTACGAGTTGTTTTATCTCATCTGTACTTAATTGATTTATCATGTTTTCTACTGCATTTATGATGTCTTGTGTATGTTGTTTTTAGGAATTTGTTTAATTGCATTTGATTTTTCTCTTGCATTTTGTTGCTATATTTGTTATATTTCATGCATTTGTGTGTTATACCAGGTTTTTTATAGCTGGTTCTTTTTTCACTGGCTTTTTGGTTTGTGTTTGCTCCGTGGAACCAAGCCTCGTGCGTAATAAATTTAATTTCTCTTCCCGATTATGTCTCACGTCCCAACACGTACAAGAACCGATTACACAACGTATAGGACTTCATTCGTGCCATCCATTTTGGGCCGATCGCTACCGAGTTTCACGACTTCACCAAAGGTAGGTGCCTCTGCTCATAGTTTTTCCGAGAGTTACCAACGGTAAGAGAGAGAGTAGGATCATTACAGACTTAGTTGATGTATGGATTTATTTAAATTGTTGATGTAATTGTAAAGTTTGATTTACGTATTAAACGATTGTTTATTATTACTGTAAAAGTTCTCCGGTCGTTTGCGAAAAGAGTCCTTATCAATGCGTACGCTAATTAGTTTCAAGCTAAGCTGGAAATTCTTTCGAAGACGCAGTAGTTTGGTCTTTCGCTGCATATGTTGCCTACTCGTTTGGTGCGGACTGCAGTTCTTGGCATCTTAGCAATGCGAGATATTTAGGGGCCCTTTCATTATCATTTCCTCTACTTAAAATATGTTCTGCTTGAGCGATATTCGATTTTCACATGAATACTTGCTATTGGCATTCTCACATGTATACTTTTTGTGATAAATTAATTTACGTTAACTGAAACGCTGGAGTAGAGCCACGCCATTTTGATGTTGCCTATGTACATGCAATTTATTATTTTACGGGTTGTTTTATCTCATTTGTACTTAATTGATTTATCATGTTTTCTACTGCATTTATGATGTCTTGTGTATTTTGTTTTTAAGAATTTGTTTAATTGTATTTGATTTTTATCTTGCATTTTGTTGCTATAGTTGTTTTATTTCATGCATTTGTGTGTTATACCAGGTTTTTTATAGCTGGTTCTTTTTTCACTGGCTTTTTGGTTTGTGTTTGCTCCGTGGAAACAAGCCTCGTGCGTAATAAATTTAATTTCTCTTATTCCCTTCGGACGCACAAAATTTCTGTCTTTTATTTAATTTCCTTCCTGATTATGTCTCACGTCCCAACACGTACAAGAACCGATTACACAACGTATTAGGACTTCATTCGTGCCATCCATTTTGAGCCGATCGCTACCGAGTTTCACGACTTCACCAAAGGTAGGTGGCTCTGCTCATAGTTTTTCCCAGAGTTGCCAACGGTAAGAGATAGTAGGATCATTACAGACTTATTTGATGTATGGATTTATTTAAATTGTTGATGTTTATTTTGAGTTGTAATTATAAAGTTTGATTTACGTATTAAACGATTGTTTATTATTATTGTAAAAGTTCTCCGGTCGTTTGCGATAAGAGTCCTTATCAATGCGTATGCTAATTAGTTTCAAGCTAAGCCCGAAATTCTTTTGAAGACGCAGTAGTTTGGTCTAAGATCCCACATAAGGTTAACCTTCGTCCTTTTGTTTACAGAGTGAAATACATTTTTTATTAATCACATTGGAAGTGGTTGCCTGAAAAAACGTAATTAATGGTTCTGTCTGCTTCTATCGCATTTAGAGAACGTATGTGCTCTTTCTTATACATGAATGCGTGCACTATACGATCAGCTATGTCACTTGACGTTAATTACAATGAACCAGTATTTCTTTCGTTAATTTGGATTGTTACTTCCTGACGTTTTCCTAGTTTTTATACAGAGTGAGTTAAGATTAATAAACTTGAGTGGTATAAGTTGTGCGCAGAAGTATCGAAGATTATATGCCCTAAACGAATCAACTGAGCTGTGGAAGATCTTAATTCTTAAGTTTTTACATTTTACAACCCTGCGCTAGTTGACCGTTTATTGTTAGAGAATTGAATAACCTAAAGTCACTAAATATAGAAAGTACCGCAATCCACTGGGCTCGTGTGTTAGAGAGAGAACGCATGATTTTTGACCAAAAATGGCGGAAGTTACCAGATTCTAGTAACTTTAATGTTAGGGATTGTTCCACCTGTTTGGAGATATCTGTATATATTTTGCAGAGATATCTCTGATATTTTAATGAAACATGACAGTACTATGAAGTTAGGTTATAAAAAATATATTACAGCTATTTAGATTTTGTTTGTCAATTTTTTTAAGTTGGCAGTAAATTTGCCCAAAAATGGCGGATGATTGCGGTACTTTCTATATCTAGTGACGTTAGAATAACCTTTTAAATGACGTATCCTAAGGGGAATGGGAAAATAATCGTTACATATTTGATGTATTCGAGTATTAAGAAACGGCCCGTCAAAAACAACAAACGCAAAATGCTTTAAAACAAGGCTATAATAATTATAACCAGTGCCTGCTAACCCGGCTTCCTGTACCATATTGATCTAAAAAAATAGGTTCCGACGAGGGCGCAGAACCCAGAACTGAAGCTTATGAATTTACGCATTAGATGTCACGCAAGAACCTTCAGAATTAAGGTATACTTTAAAGTATACCTTATTAGAATGAAATTGCATCGTATTTGAGATGGTGTAAAGCCCGCTTGACATGGAGCAATAAAAATTGCAATTGCATGCAAGTTGCAAGAAAAATTGCGAAAGGCATGCGCAGTTCAAAGCCAGCTGATCAATTGCTGCAAGAGACTTGCATGCAATTTTTATAGGACAGGTGCTATTTTTCTTGCATGAATCGTGCAATTCTAGGGATAAATCTAGTTGTTTTTGTGTCACCAACCTAGTAAAATACAGCGGCGGCAACTATGATGCTGAGAGACGCACACATTACTTGTTTTTATTAATCTTATTTATTTTTGTAATTTTTATGTTTCTTCAAGCAATCAAAATTTAATTTTCATTTGAGGTTAACTACTTTGTTGACAAATCCATATGTTTCTTCTGTTGGCAGACATGTGGCAATTGAAATAGAATTCCACCATGTCAAATACCATGCAATGCTTATTGCATGCAAGGATTTGACCTTGCAATTTCTTTCTGCAAGTTCTTGCGCGTTGTATTGCTCCATGTCAAGCGGCCTTAAATCTATTTCAAATGCCACATGTCTGCCAACAGAAGAAAAAAATGGATTTGATTTGTCAAGAAAGTTAACGTCATATAAAAATTTAAATTTGATTACTTGAAGAAACATGCAAATTACAAAACTAAATAAAATTAACAAAAAAAATCAGTGCGTCCCTTAGCATCATAGTTGTTACGCAACAAAGTGTTTTGCAGCAATTCATTTCTTTTACAACCTGCGTACAATTGTCCACCAAATCCAAATTGAGTATCCGCTCTTCCTTCACCCTAAATGGAGAATCCACAAATAAAATTTAGGTGTTTTAGAATTAGATTTTGTATAGGGGCCAAAGTATGTGAACCTCACCATTTTAAAAGAGACAGACTGTATATAAATAAACAAAAAGTTTGAAATTCGCGCCTTAAGCGCCATAATGACAAGTAAAACGTCACTTGTTTGATAACCTCACTGCCTGCGTAGATAAGAAACGCCATTGCTGTAAACAACCGGGATAAAATAGCGGACTGATGACACATTGATGATTTAAGATAGGAATTAATAATCACTGCTTCCACAACCATGGCGTGGACCAAGTACCAATTATCCTTGGCCTTGGTAATGGTAGTAACGGGTACTATCAACACCATTAGTACCAAGTAAGTTAATTCATTTATGGTACTACATCAATAAATTGTACTTCTCTAGATGGGCGGATAAACTTCCATCAAAAAGCAGGGACGGTATTGTAAGGAACTTTGACCATCCCTTCTTTCAGGCTTCCTGCATGTTTCTGGGGGAATGTTTATGTTTTGTCGCCTTTAAAGTTTTATACAAAGTTCTTAGTCGACGTTGTGTAAGTATCCAGTAATGGTAAGCGAAAAATGCGACCGTCACAATTACAGAATGGGTCGGAAGACGTACACGAACTTACGAAAGGGAATCGAGATTTTAACCAATTCAAATTGTTCATCCCGGCGATGTGCGACATGACCTCGACGTCTCTAATGTACATCGGTTTAAATCTGACGTACGCCTCCAGTTTTCAGATGTTTCGGGGGGCGGTCATCGTCTTCGTCGGCATTCTAAGCGTCGGGTTTTTGGATAGAGTGCTGAGGCGACGCGAATGGACCGGCATATTCATGGTCATCGTCGGGCTTACGATCGTCGGTCTCGCCGATTTTCTCAACAAGGACCCGAATACCGACAGTCACGGAAAGAACGACATTATCACGGGCGATCTCCTGATCGTTATCGCTCAGATTATTACCGCCACGCAGATGGTGATCGAGGAGAAGTACGTGACCGGATTGGATATACCGCCGTTGCAGGCGGTCGGTTGGGAGGGCATTTTCGGTTTCGTCGTGTTGGCGTGCTTGCAAGTGCCGTTTTATTTTATTAAGGTGGGACCGCCGTTCAGCGGCAACTATCGTGGTGTACTCGAGGACGCGATTGATGCCTTTGTACAAATGGGCAACAATTATCTTTTAATTTTTGCGATATTGGGCACGATCCTGTCAATTGCCTTCTTTAATTTTGCTGGAATTAGTGTAACAAAAGAGTTGTCAGCGACTACCCGAATGGTAATTGACAGTGTGAGAACGTTCTTTATATGGATGTTAAGTCTCGGCTTCACGTGGCAGACATTCCATTGGTTGCAGGTAAGTGGCTTTCCCCACTTGTTAATCGATTACAATTGTTTGGTTTTAGCTGTTGGGATTTGCATTTTTATTATTCGGAATGTGTTTGTACAACGGTATTACGTGCACGCCTTGTATCATTTATGTACGGAATGCGGTATCAAATTTGAGATATAGACACCTCAATGACGATGTAGTTGAAAATAGAGCAGCAGATGAGGCATATGATAGAAGTGCATAAGTATTTTTAATTGAGAACTGTGGTATTTACTGAACTGATATATCAAAATCTAACTGCGATCTGATTTAGTGATTATGGTGATAGTGGAATCATAATCTATTATTATTAATTAAATAAATGATTTTTATTACTTTGTGTCCCCTTTCTTTTATGCAGAATACAATCATAATTGTTTAAATTACAAAGAGTTTTGTTAACAGAATTCCACCCCTGTAATAGGTAACTTGTCGGGGGTATTCGAAAACACTCCTGGCATTAGGTGTAACTAATGTGGTTGCAGTTCTCTACCACCCCCCTGTGACTGCCTCCTACAGGAAGAAATAGTGTTATGTATAATACATACAGCAAACACTACCTTCCATGTATTTTTTGAAGCAATGACTAAATATATAAATTTCGCTTGGGGTCCAACACCATGTAATCGAAAGATAACCATACAGCACCTATGAAAACTATATAAAATGTTGCATACAAAACATAAATAAATTATAAAGAAATGATTGCTACCAGCATTATCAAAAAGACAAGAAAACTTAAACTGCACGATACTGACGAAAGTTGAAACGAAGATGCCGTTACATAGCAAGCGTTTGTGTTCCAGAACGCGCAGACCTTAGAGAAGGAAAGATAGAGGAGAGACAAACAATGATCGTGAAGTGTAGCATATTTAATTTGTACACCAGTAACATGGCCGCATGCGTCGGATTAAAGCTGCAACCGTAGCCACGTATCGTAAATACAAACGTATTTGAATAAGTAAACATTGTGCAAGACACAATTCACTTATAAATTTATGGATATCTTTTGTGCTCATTATAATACCTACTAGTATGCAATACAAGTATAATGGAGATAGGCCGCAGGTCACGCACGGCAAAGAAATGCAAACAGCTGATCGAGTAAACATAAGTAAGCACAGTTTTGTGCACCATGAATATGGCCGCAACACGAAAATTTGCATCAACGTGCAGTACCTATTCTATTCTACCCGACCGGGGAGGCCCATTGTGCCTACCCCCATTCTTTCGCAATTGAGTTCAGAGCCCGTTACTTTCAAAGAAGAGAATTTAGCCTGTTGCTTCACCCTCCCTGGTTCCAGATAGCTGTCTCCAAGAAATTGTAATAGTCCTAGGGGTCTATCACGCCGACAATGAAAATGTTGATTTACCCTATACTTACCATTGGCAACTCTGGGAAAAAACTACAAGCAAAGCCACCTACCTTTCACGTCGAAACGATGGACGTTTCGCGGTACTTTTGAATTTGGATGGCAGTCAGCTCGATATGGTTGGCACGAATGAACTCCTACGTTGTGTAATCGGTTCTTGTATGTGTTGGGACGAGAGACATAATCGGGAAGGGAATTATACAAAAGACAGAACTTTTGTGCGTAAGAAATAACAAGAACAAATAAATATACTACGCACGCCACAAGACCATACCAGGGAAACCTTCTACGGGACAAAAACCCCTGCATAGGCCACACAAATACATGAAATAAATCACCTACAGCAATAAATTGCAAGAGAAAATACATATAAATAAAACATATCAAATTGTATGACAAAAATCAGATAATCAAATCAAATGCAATTAAAAAAGTTCCTAAAAACAAAATACACAAGACATCATAATGCAGTGGAAAACCTGATAAATCAATTCAGTACAAAAACACATCAAAATGCATGTACAATCAATTGAGATACCACAACTCGGAAAATAATAAATTGCATGTACGTAGGAAACATGTAAATACTGTGGCTCTACTACACATAACATAATAGTTATTTATGTCTTACTAACCCATAATAGCACATTTTATATCTGTGATACGCGGGCATAAAGTACCACTTTATGCCCTAGGGCATTAAGTGTCACTATATAGTACCTCATTTATACTTAATGAGAAAACAAACAAATATTCGCAAGTCATTGAAAATTAGAAACGTCAATTATTAATTGTCAATACCTACTAAATCACAAGATTGGCCTTATTTCGTATAGTTCTGGAACTTCTTGCTCATTCACGATGAATTGAATTATTTAAAATTAAAATTACGTTTGACGTTTGGATGGTTTCAATCACATTAACAAATTCGAACCACGCATACTCGATCAAACACAATGAATTATTTTGTAAACGATTTTTGACGAAGAAAACTATTTGTAAAACATAAAATTGTGTATGTACCACGGGCATAAACTGATGTTTATACTCTCGGGCGACTAAAAAGCTCGAGGGCCTATGGCCTTGTCGCCCTCAAGAATATAAACATCACTATTATGCCCTTAATACATAAATAACTATTATGCATCAAGGGCATTAAAGCGATATTTATGCCGAGGGCCACAGAGCCCGAGGGCCTCCGGCCCGAGGGATTGTAAGTCGCCCGAGCGTTAAATATTGAGTAATGCCTGAGGTGCATACAGCATTTTATTTTTCATCGTTCCAAAGAATGCATTTCCAATATACAAATGTCATGATTATTGTTTGCCCAACATTAAAGTGCTTCATACGAATCAAATTACATCTTTTTTACTACATAATATAACTCCTTCAATCAATTTGACAGGCCGTTAGAGGGCATAATGAGATGACAATCCATTATGCCCTTGGGCGTAATAGACTGCTTTATATATCACATATGACAGATATAATTGACATATAATAGGCAAATGAAAAATAATAGTACATTATATATCAAGGTAGAGAAGCACAGTATTATTGCCTGAGCGCCAAGATTACATCTCGAGGCGCTTGCGCCGAGGGGTGTAAGGTGCGAAGGCAATAATAGACTTCTCTACCGTGGTATATATACTATTTTTTTCACTACTAGCACATGAAGTCCTCTAAATTAACATATTATATTGATAAGAAAGTGAACGGTTGGACAGAATGTTTTGTTTATTAATTTATCATGTCAATCAAGTGTGTAGAAGTACAAGTCCAACAGGCCGTATTTTGTTCTGTCATTGAGATATTTTCAAAGATTAATTTTGTTCGAATTTTTTCAAAATGTGATAATTTCAGGATTGTAATTTCTCTGGAAATGGCGGATGGTGGCAATTCTTCATTTTAGAGAACTTGTCTAAACGTTTATTGAGCGAAATTTCGGGTTGTGTTTTCTAAAAGTGACAGCGTGACAGTTCTCATTATTGACTACTAGTTAATAATGTCCACATTATTAACCACTTTGAACAAATGCCGAGAAAGCCTACTTTACAAGTGGAAAAAAGGTTAATAATCATGTCATCATCAGACGCTAGTAGTGAAAAAATTAATTTAACACGAAAAGTACATGTGAGAATGCGAATAGCAAGAATTCATGTGAAAATCGATTATCGCTCAAGCAGAACATATTTTAAATAGAGGAAATATTAATGAGAGGGTCCCTAAATATCTCGCATTGCTAAGATGCCAAGAACTGTAATCCGCACGAGACGAGTCGGCAACAGATACAGCGAAAAATCAAACTGAATTAAGTACCTACTTCACGGAGACACACACAAACATCGAAACATCAAATAAGAGATATATATATATTTTTTTTTTATATCGTGATGGCCAGCATTTCGAGCATTTACGGCGACATTAAAAGCTTCCTTTTTTAAATCGATCCACCTTAGGGCCACAAATTATATAATAAAAATAATTCCGGAAAAATTAGCTTAAAAAAATAAAATTTTGGGGGTATAAAATTTTCTTTGGTCTAAATTTTAGGTTAGGAAGAAGATATCGAGATGCGGTTTTCGTGAGCTTGTTTAGTCATCATTTAGCTACTTTTTTATGAAAAAAAAAATCAAACCAACGCATTTAATTTTTTTGAGAAAATTAACCATTTCTGTCGGAATGTCTAAAAAAGCCCTCAAGCGGCGATATGTGAAACTAACAAAACTTCAAATATTATAATATTTGTAGCCGAAGAATAATTCTTTTCAATTAACCCGAGTTTGTTAAAATCGGCTCAATCGTTTCGAAGATACAGGGTGTGCTTTACGGAAACTTTTGAATACCCCCCACCACTTCATTTTCAAAGATACAGGAAAAATTGTCAAACAAAAAAGGTTCAGATTATCGTCAACTTCAAAGACCGGACATTTTTTTTTAGTATAATATAGCGGAATTCACAGAAAAATCACTTTTTTAGATTCCAGATTGCAGTTACGCCTCCTAGCGGCCATTGCAGAAACTTAAAAATATTTTCCAGGTTTTTCTCGTGGCCGTTTTAGTAATAAATTTTTTTACCGCAAGCTTCTACGATGGACAGGTTACCAGATACAGTACCTCGCATTCTTATTTGGCCACCCTGTACAGAGCATATCGTATTTTTGTTTCAGATGTAAAGACCCCATAACGGTGGATTACTACAAGTCTGACACAAAGCAAAATTAACCTTGAATTCAACTAATATGATCAATATTTGCGTTGAATCACAATTTATAACCACATTTAGCGTCAAAAATAATTAAAATTAGATATACAGTGTGACCCGTCATGCTGGTAGGTGGTAAGGCCGAAACGCGTAATTTACACAACAACGCTTTAGCTTTTTGGAATGATTAAATAAATCAAATCTACGTAGTGCTAATCACGATCAATGAACCGGGAAGCCGCCACTTTTTTGATTGTTTCTTACTCTCTGGCGTGAGGTTATGGGCCCAAAGTCTTGTCTCCCGTTACAAATGAAATTCGCGAGCACTTTTGATGCGCTTCTTTGTATTCCTCAGGAAGCATTCGGGTCACCCACCAGGGAGATAAGATGCATAAAATTTCTACCAGAATATAGCAATATCCGTCGGACATTTATGTGTACAGGGTCGCTGATGATCGCTGCCACGACAATATACAAGGTATCAAAAAAGTTTTATACAAAAGATTTGAGGTTCTTTAATGTCTACTATGCGATCAAAAATGAGTTGCTGTCGAGTCACCTTTGAAATTTTTGTTTTACATCCTCAGTTTCGGCAACTGCGCAGAACCGTTAAAGTCGAAAACTGTAGACAATTGCTGTATACAAGGCGCTTCGTATTTTGCCGTATTTTTTTCTGTAAGGTGTATATTGCCTGACCGTAGGGGCACAGTTGAAATCCTAATTTCATATTTTGTACTTAAGTCTCGTATCGAATACTGAATTACGTACCATCTTTATTCATAAACAAAGGCAGTTCATCCGACATTAAATCATATTTGGCAATTTACAATACACCTATCTTTATTTTGTATCCAAAATTACAATTAAGTCCATTCTGTTTTGCTTAATTAATATGTACTGGTATTTAATTTTTTTTAAAGTAATTTTTAATAAATTATCAAAATCCAACAAGAATGATAAAGGGGGAAACATTAAAAAATGCCGGGAGACAAGGAAAACCGTATCTGGATACCTTGCAATAAAATAAATTGGATGTAATCGTTGAGTTGAAAAACAATAATAGAAGTGACATTTATTTTTAGAATGTTTACCACACGCGCGTGACAATAATAAATTTGTTAAGTTGGTCACTGCGGTTGGTAGTTTTGTCGAATAATAGTAGAGCAATTTTTAGACTGGCTTTCGTCAAGCGTGTACATAAATATAAAGCAGAATTTTAAAGTTTACACTATTTTTATAGTGATAATTGTCTAGAATTTAGTGTTTGCGATATTTTTATTATTAAACAAAATGCTTATCGACGACGCCGATGCGTTTAAGACGTGGCTAACAGCTGTACTCAAACCCATGTAAGTGATTTATCATTATCATATTTTATGCATTTTTAATCGCAGCTCGAACTTCTCTTGCAGTTGCGAGGCCGATCCGGGCGCCCTGGCGAAGTACGTCTTCGCGCTGGTCAAGAAAGATAAGAGTCCGGAGGCGCTGCGACAAAGCATGATCAGTCAATTGGAGGTGTTTTTACAACACGGTAAGCGCACACTACCGACCCCGTTTATCGCTAACCGTCTCCCATTGCAGAAACCGAACCGTTCGTTAATTTACTATTCAAGACGTTGGAAAGTCGTGATTACCTAACACCAGTGATACCAAGTACAAATCCGCCAAATCCGAATATAATCAAACCGCCCGAGGTGACGCCGCTGTCGCCGAAATCGAAGGAACTCAAAAAGGAAATTATACCAGTTAGCGAATTGCCAAATCTTAGCGAGTCGGTTAACGGAAACGCGATTGTCAAAAAGGACGAGGTGAAACGCGATGCTCGTAAAAGCGAATCCGTACGTATACTTTTACGAACTGTGGTTTATGCAGCATTTGAGGTTTTGTCTCTGGCATCAAGTTAGCATTGTATTTAAGATATTTAAGTGCGATTTGAAAAACATGATTTAGGTGTACTTCTAAGAGCGCGAATCCATTTGAGAGAACTTGGCTATAAAAAAAAGCCCTGCAACATCTTGGTTGTCTATGAACCGATTTTGTGTCAAACCCCAAAGTAAAAATCAAAGAATGCATTGGTCATAATGAAAATTTTGTTTGGCTTCAATTTCGGTCGATAATAACCTCACTTTTTTTTGGAATAGAAATCCTGTATATTTTTTTGAATAGACATGAAAAGCCAGTTCAGAAATACTATCAACAACATCTTTAACGGAAAATAAAGAATATTCTTGGTATGGAAATGGCGTGGAAAAGCATTTCTGCCGAGATATTTGAGTTTTCTGGGACTTTGGCACACTGTATTGAGGCTATGTTTTGAAAACCAGAATGTGCAACACAGATTTTTCATTTCATTGCTTCTTGAATTTTGAAAATAGAACGTTGATCTCATAATAAAAAAAAAATCGCTTTATACCTTCAAAAACCGATAGTTACATTATTGATTATTACGAGATGCGAAAAAAATGTAAAGGCAAAGGTTTTGTACATTTTCAGTAGAATGTGTGGCGTAGAAATAATTTGATAATCACTGCAATTCTTCAAAAACGCCACTGATGTCTATGGGTTTTTTAAAAAAAGGTCAATTTTATTTTTTCCAAAAACTGGACTGGGTGGCCAAATAAGAATGCGAGGTACTGTACCTATCTGGGAACCTGTCCATCGGAGAGGCTTGCGGTAAAAAAAGTTATAGTTAGAAAAACCTGAAAAATATTTTTAAGTTTTTGAAATGGCCGCTAGGGGGCGTAACTGCAATCTGGAATCTAAAAAAGTGATTTTTCTGTGAACTCCGCTATATTAACCTAACAAAAAAATGGCCGGTCTTTGAAGACGACGATAATCTGAACCTTTTTTGTTTGACAATTTTTCCTGTATCTCTAAAAATGAAGTGGTGGGGGGTATTCAATGGTTTCCGTAAAGAACACCCTGTATCTTCGAAACGACTGAGCCGATTTTAACAAACTCGGGTTAATTGAAAAGAGTTATTCTTCGGCTACAAATATTATAATATTTGAAGTTTTGTTAGTTTCACATATCGCCGCTTGAGGGCTTTTTTCGACATTCCGACAGAAATGGTTAATTTTCTCAAAAAAATTAAATGCGTTGGTTCGATTTTTTTTTCATGAAAAAGTAGCTAAATGATGCCTAAACAAGCTCGCGAAAACCGCATCTCGATATCTTGTTCCTAACCTAAAATTTAGGCCAAAGAAAATTTTATACCCACAAAATTTAATTTTTTTAAGCTAATTTTTCCGGAATTATTTTTATTATATAATTTGTGGCCCTAAGGTGGGTCGATTTAAAAAAGGAAGGAAGGAATGCCGCCGTAAATCTCAAGATATCGAGATGGAGTTTTCGCGATCTTGTTTAGGCACCATTTAGCTACTTTTTCATGAAAAAAAAATCAAATGCATTTAATCTTTTTGAAAAAATTAACCATTTCTGTCGGAATGTCGAAAAAAGCCCTCAAGCGGTGATATGTGAAACTAACAAAACTTCAAATAGTATAATATTTGTAGCTGAAGAATAGCTCTTTTGAACTAACCCGAGTTTGTTTAAATCGGCTCAGCCGTTTCGAAGATACAGGGTGTTCTTTACGGAAACCTTTGAATACCCTCCACCACTTCATTTTTAGAGATACAGGAAAAATTGTCAAACAAAAATTGTTCAGATTATCGTCGACTTCAAAGACCGGACATTTTTTTGGTAGGTTAATATAGCGGAAATCACAGAAACTGTTTTAGATACCAGATTGCAGTTACGCCCCCTAGCGGTCATTTCAGAAACTTAAAAATATTTTCCAGGTTTTGCTCGTGGCCGTTTTAGTAATAAATTTTTTTATCGCAAGCCTCTACGATGGATAGATTCTCAGATACAGTACCTCGCATTCTTAGTTGGCCATGGCCACCCTGTACATTCTACTGTAATGTGCTCAATGGTTTCACTGTATAAATGACATTTTCTACAGTGATCTGTGTCGATAATTTCTTTCACGATAATTTTTCTATAATATTATTTTGGAAGAATTTTTGAGATCAAAAATGTGATTTCTTTAAATTGTTTACAATTTGTAAATTCATTATTTTGAGAAAAGAATTTCCAGAAAATGTTTTTAATTTTGAGGAAACTTCAAGAACATTAAAAAAAAATTTTTTTTTCGAAATACTAAAATTTATAGTTTCAAAACAATTTAAAACAAGTCTAAAATTAAATATGGCTGCCATTTAGAGATTTTTGAAAAAATAAGTGTAAATAAGTTTTGAGTTAGTATGGAACACTTTTTCAAAGTTCAAGAAAAGCACCTTTTGGCAGATCATTTTTCAAAAATTCTGTTAAAATGGTGGCATTACGGCTAGGATTTGGGAAATGTTTGAAAAAAAGAAATTTTATAATGCCGATTTTTTCCGAATTCAAGAAAATCATATTTTGCTTAATTATTTTTTCGATATACATACTAAAATTCCTAGTTTCAATACAATTTAAATAACTTATTTGGTGTATCAACCATTTATTTGACATTAAAAAAATTATTTTGATTACATAAGTAAGTGTCGATATTTTCTAAAATTCAAGAAACATTTTTAGAAAATCTTTGTTGAAATGGAGATTAGAATTTTACAGATTTTTGTAAAAATAAATGATTTTGAGGATGGCGTCGATGTTAAGCATTTTCTCAAAATTCAAGAAAAACATTTTTTGGAAGATCTTTTTTCAAAAATTCTGGAGCAAGTTGAGATGGTGGCTAGGATTTGAGAGATTTTAAAAAAATAAATCCTTTTTTGATATCAAGCAAAAATTTATAATTCAAGAAAATAGTTTTTTTGTTAACTGTTTTACAAAATACTAAAATTCCTAGTTTCAAAACAATTAAATAACTCATTTGGTATATAAAACAATTTTTTGGACATTAAGAAGATGATTTTGAGTGATCTTGAAAAAATTTTCTCAAAATCGGTGCAAAAAATGAGTTCTTTTAAAAAAAATTCCGAAATTCGTCCATTTAAATTGACAAACCATTTATTTGAAATGTGGAATTTTAGTAAAAATTTTAGAATTTTGGACATATGTAATTTCAAAAAAACAGGTAGTTCTTGACTTTTAAAAATTATTTTGGATTTGAAATTTTACATTACCATCAGACTGAATTATTTTCACCGGCATTTCAAAAATCTAGAAGAAATTTTGAGAAAAGGATCAAGATTTTTTTAATTTGAACGGATTTCCAAACAAATATTTTTTGTTGGATTCTAAGATCAGAGTCGAGATTGGCGCAATATTCATATTTTCTTAAATCTTCGAATTATGAATGAATCTGTGAAATAAGAAATAAGTAAAATGTTTTTTTAATGAAATTTTTACACCAACTTTATATTTTCCTCAAAATGTTTTTCTTTAATTTTGAAAAAATACCGGCTCTATACTCAAAACTTTTTCAAAACCCATAGTCATTTTGACATTCTGAGAGGTTGTTTGAAATAAATTCAGTTTCGTTAAAAACTTTTGAAACTAAGAATTTTTGCCCGGTTTTTTGTGTTTCTTGAATTTTGAGAAAATATGTTCAAAATCGGCGCAATGATGCGAAATCATTTTTTTTAATGTCCAAAAAGAATGTTTGATATACTATTTATTTCAATTATTTCGAAATTATGAATTAGAAATTTGAAAAAATAATAATTGCAAACGAATGCTTTCTTGAATTTTGAGAAAAAGTTCAAAAATCTCTCACATCCCAGCCAGCATCTCAACATTTGAGAAAAAAATTTTCTTGGATGTTGAAAAAATGCTTAAAAAGATCGACGCTATACTAAAATCATTTATTTTTCAAAAATCTCCAAAATCATATTCATCTCAACGTTTTAAACTAAGAATTTCATTATTTTGAGAAAATCATTTCCAGAAAATTTTTTTCTTAAAATTTGAGAAAGAAGCTTTTGTTGATATCAAAATCACCGTCATACCGAAATGATTTAGTTTTAGATTTGTTTTAATGTTATTTTGAAATGATCAATTCTCTGAAACAAGTTTTTTTTATAAGAAAATCGGTTAAGTACCATAAAATAAGTTATTTCTTCACAAAGGTTCAGACATTCGGAGAGAATTTGTAAGAAATTGCTATTATGATCAAATTCCTAAACATTTTCACATTTTCAGAATAAAATTTCAAAAAATATGTAATTTTTATGCAAGTCCATGTTGGTAAAATAATTTTTTAAAAATTTCTCTGAATTCTTAGCTCTATCAGCTCTAATCGTGGGAGAAGTGTGTAGGAATAAACCAAATAGACAAATCATTTGTTTTTTCATTTTTTTGAAATATTGAAAAGTGGAATTTTAGTAAAAAATTTTGAATTTTGAGAAAAATATTTCAAAAAACAATTCTTGACTTTTAACAAGAAAATTGTTTTTGAATTGAAATTTTAAATTTGGATCATACCAAAAAATATTTTTCACCTGATTTCAAAAATCTGGAAGAAATTTTGAGAAAAGGATTTTTTAAATTTTGAAACAGAATTTCGACATATTTTCTTGTATTCTAAGATTGGAATCAAAACTGGCGCCATTTTTAAAAATAATTATTTAAACAAAATCGAATTTCTTGATTCTGAAAAGAGGTTTTGCATGTTGAAGCATTGGCGCTATTCTCAAAATTTCAAAAATTATTCATTCGACATTTTGGAAGACAATTTGAAAAAACGAAACGAATTGAATTATCAGAAGAGTTCGATCGAAACTGGTGGCTTCTAACAAAAATCGAGTTTCTAGATTTCATTTCCATATTCTGAACTATTCTAGAATTTTAAAGAAAATTTTTTAGAATAGAATTTTCAAAAAATTTTTTTTCTCGAATTCTGCGATTTTTCATAGAGTGGAGTCACCCCAACATTATAGGAGAAATTATGAAAAGCAAATTTTCGAATTTTTCTAAGTCGGCATTTAAAAAAAATTTCAAAAATATTTTTTTCTGATTCTGGGTGAACCGGAATATGTTTTCAGGATTTTTTCTTTAACTGTAAAAGATGTTTTGAGATAAAAATACAAAACGAAGAAATTTATAATTCTGAGAAATTTTTTTTTGAAATTTTGCTCTTAAAAATTCTCTCAAAATGCGTGCGTTTATATTTTAGAACGAAAAATAGGTTTGTGTAGGACACTAATTTTGATGATTGACATCAAGAAGTCTTCTCACAATTCAAGAAAAACGATTTTTGAGACCAATTTAGAAATTCAACATAAAAAAACCTGAAATAATGTTTTTTAATCAGGCATCAGTTCCCAGTTGATATCAAGAACTCTTCTAAAGATTCAAGAAAAACTACTTTTTGCTTTTTAAATAATTCACATTTTTGAAAATTCTATCAGATATTGAGTTGATGTTTAAGACGAAATATTTTTGAAAAAATAAATCATTTTATAATGCGTATTTAATTATCCAATTTTTGCAAAACCAAAATCGACCTTTTTCTTATTTCAGTATTCGGGTTCCTAAGTTATACTAGTGCCGCGCTATTCATACCCCCTCTCTTTTGTGTTTATATCTGATTGCAGATTTTTCTGCTATAAGGTATCAAGCATTCTTTTTGGACATTAAAAAAATGCGACGATCTTAAAAACGTTTTCCCAAAATTCAAGAAAACCATTTTTTGAAAAATCTCAAAATAACAAAGTTCGCAGATTCAAAACATTTTAAAGAAATTGAATTTATTTCAAAGATTCTCTTAGAATGTCAAAATGCCTATGACTTTTTGGAAAGATTTTGAATATAGCCCCGGTCTTTTTCAAAATGAAAGAAAAACATTTTGAGGGAAATTCAAAAATGTTGGAGATTATTTTTGAAACACTATTTTTGGTGGCGATTTTGATATCGAGAAAAACATTTTTCTTAAAATTCAAAAAATGTTTTCCTTAATATCTGAGAGGCGTATGATTTTGGAGAAAAAATTCAAGTTGGGAAATGTACAATTTTTGCAAAAACCAAAATCGACATTTTTCTTATTTTGACCTTGAGTGTTAATTACGATTTCGAGTTCCTAAGTTGTACCAAACGCCCCCTCTCTTTGTTTTTGGGTTTATATCTGATTTCAGATTTTTGGCAGTGGGCACCTTAGACCATATAGTACATGGACTGCTATTAGCCCTATGCTTTCAATACAAAATGGGTGGTCACGGATAGAGGGCACTGTAGTCGTGGGTATGTGAATCTCAGGGTAAAATAAAGTCGTATGAACACCACTTGGATTGCGTAAAGAGTAGCTTTTATGGTAACCGCGTAGTACGGGAAGCTTTAAATACTCTTGATTGTCTTCTATACGTCCACAAATAAGAACAGGTTTGCTGTTTTTGCCATATCTAGACGATTAATTAATTGACATTTGTTAATTTATAGGTTGACAGTCTCAAATCGTGTCCCATCGGACAATTTCGGACAGACTCGTTTACCCTGAAACTCACATACCCAGGCGATGTCCTTGACCATATTTTAGTTACAATTAGCAGTCCATGTACTATATGGTCTAAGGTGGGCACCCTTCTGAGCTCAAAAGGCCTAATTAATAATTTTTCTGTTATTTACCCTCTCAATTCCCTTACCCTTTTAGCTTTACCAAGACCAAAACAAGACTCTCTTAATACTGCTATCAGTAATTGGGCGCAAGCCTGTTGAGGGCCCAGAACAAGAGGGATGATAAATAAAATAAATAAATCAGTGTTGGGAGTGTAGTATCGTCGAGATAGCAAATGTATGAGTATTTTGTGCCTTAAATGATGCATAAACCACATTTTTGTTGTTGTCTAACCGTAAGACGTTTGTTGGTATGAGTAACGATGTTGTAGGAAAAAGAAGATAAGCCGAGGAAACGTTCGCGTCACAGGTCACTGTCACGAAATCGCTCGCGCTCTCGTTCGTGGGATCGCAATCGTCGATCGCGTTCGAGGGAAAAATCCCGCGAACCGTACCGAGAGAAACGCACCGATCGACCTCGTCCCTATCGAAACAAGTCGCCGCCGAGGAGATACGATCGCAGGAGGTCGAGATCGCCCACGCCTACCGGTACCGGTCGCGCGAGGTCGCGTTCGCGCAGTCCCAGACACAACTACAGAGGTCGCTATCGCAATCGTTCGCCGCCACGTTCGAACAGTCGCAGTAGGTCTCGTTCCGCCGACAGAAAAGATCGTAAGGAAAATTTAAAGTTGGATAAAGAGCTAAAAGATAATCGTTCAGGTGCGGGAACTCCAACTCAAGATTCCAATCACGGCGATTTAGATTTGCGGTTAACGAATTCGACCCAAAGCATTCAGTCGGTTATTCATAATTCGACGGGAAATCGCAGCCCGAAGAAGCGATGCAGGGATTACGACGAGAAAGGTTTCTGTATGCGCGGCGAAATGTGCCCGTACGACCACGGCGTCGATCCGGTCGTCCTGGAAGACACAGCTCTAACGCGCGTTCTGACTTTCGGCCCGAACGGCGCGCCGTTAAACGAGCCGCCGCCCCCGATGATACCGCCCCCGATAATCGGAGGTGCGGGACATCCCAACATGCATCACATCCCCCCGCGTCCACTAATGCCCGAGTACAATCCGCAGGTAAGATCGCCGCCTGGTGGTCGCCACGTGACTAACGAGATGTTTAAGGCTCCGCACATGTGGCCTAGGGGCGGCTTTCGTGGTCCCAGAGCAATGTTGGGTCCGCGTCTACCCCACATGGGCCCTTTCATGCCCCAGTCAGGCTTACAGCGGGAATTGATTTCTGTACCGGTAATGGATAACCAACAGCCAGAATTTGGTAATAATTTTTCACGTCATCAGTATATGCCGCCCGATATCGAGCAGCAAGAGGGCATCTTCAAGAAGAAACAGTTCGATTACAATCGTTTAGGGCCACGCGCGAAAAATCCATCCAATTGCTCGTTGGAATTGAAAAAGGTCCCGACCGGCTTAAATAACATCGCCCATCTTAATAATCACTTCTCTAAATTCGGCAAAATCGTTAACATCCAGGTCTTTTACGAGGGCGATCCCGAAGCGGCCATCGTCACGTTTTCTAGTCACGCCGAGGCGAATGCCGCGTACAGGAGCACGGAGGCGGTGCTAAATAATAGGTTCATTAAGGTCTTCTGGCATCCGACGAATGGCGATGGTAAGTTGTCGAAACGCCTTTCAATTGCGGTAGCGTCATAGTGCAAAAAAGACAGTGAGACAACCTTTTATTCTCAATTACAACTGTATACGTCTATGCGCCACTTTTGCGAATCCTTCATCACTCGGCACATTTTTTAAGATAAATGGCTACTTAGATGCAACCAACTTGTACGGCGGCGTAGTTAATCTTATGCACAAACAGGCGAGAGTGGTTCTGCACTCCGTTTTGGAATTTTTGGCTCTTACATTACACTGCCCCCTCCTTAAAACCGGCAAATCTGTGGATGCAATAGGTACCTGGTTCAGTTCCAGCGCATACTAAACGTGTCAAATTCTTGACAGAACTGCTTTCGTAGCTCAAACCAAAAATCGCGCTTTTGGAAGAGTGTCTTATAAAAAAGGTAAGTAGGAAAAAAAAACGTTTCCCACGCCTCAAGATAAATGGAACATCCGGTACACCCCAATTGGTATCGCTCATGCAGGTGCAGTTAAATCCCAATAAATCATCCCCTGAAACCGATATCTTTTCTATGCAAAAATGCTTGGTTCAAAAGTATCGTATGTAACCCGCTATTTCTTTTCGTTCTGTTCCGAATTCCGTGTCTTTGTTATACTCGGACGAAATTTACCCCTTATCCAATTAATAATAATTCTAATTAGCTCATGATAGTCAATAATTGTTTAACGGTACATTCTCTCGTACATACCTCGGGCCGTCCCACATTGTTGCGATTTCACTCGCTTTTTTTACTTTGTCTACAGCTAAGCAACTTTACTCCCAGTTAATACTTGTATTTGAACGGAAAAACTTGGCTTGGCTTGAACCTCTCTTGAAGCATTTCAGTATTCTTCAAATATTTTTCAAATTTCATTTCATTTCATTTAAAATTTTTAAGAATGGTTTTGCAATTCAATTCTGTTATATTTTTAAAGCCTTTATTTCACTTTTTCGAAATTCTATAGTGAAATCATTAAAAAAAATTTGAAATTACGTTGGAAATCAATCAATGGTATGGGTCTTAAAATTGACCTCAAATTCTTTTGAAATTTTCGCGAAACCTTGTTAAACTAATCTGGTAATTTTTCTGAAATTCTATTAACATTTTCTTGAAAGTCTTGTGATTGTACTTTGGTATTTTATTTTATATTTTTAAAATTTTCTTCAATTTTATTTGAAATTCTTTCGAAATTTCTGTAATTTTCTTGGAATTCTCTCCAAATTGTGATTTTTTAAAAAATCCCGTAGAAGTTTTTTTGTTATTTTGTTGAAATTAAAGGTTTCAAACATGGTTTTGCAATTTGTTGTATTTTTTAATACTTTTTTTAAATTTTTTTCGATATTCCATCGTGAAAATTTCGAAGCTGTATTGTAGTGTTATTGATATTAAAAACATTTTTTTAAAATTACATTAGAAATTAAAGGTATCTTGAAATTGACTTCACACTTTTTTGAATTTCTGCCGAAATTCTCTTAAAATTCTATTAAGGTTTTCTTGAAATTCTTGAGGTTGTATTTTGTAATCTTGACATTTTTAAAATTTTCTTAAGGTTCATTTGAAATTTTCATGAAATTCTGTTGAAATTGTGTGTGCATTTTTATTAACATTTTTTTAGTCCCGTTGAAGATTTTGTAATTTTTCTGAAATTGTGTTAAGTGTTTCATAAATGATTTTGCAATTTGTTTGATTTTCTCATGCTTTTTAAAAAATTTTTTCGAAATTCTATCGTGAAAGTTTTATTGCAATATTATTGACATTTAAGAACAAAATTTTTTAATTACATTGGACATTAATTAAAGGTAGGTATGTATTTTGAAATTGACTTCAAATTTTTTTTGAAATTTTCCCCAAGGTCTCTTATAATTCTATTGAATTCTTTTAAAACTATTTTGGTATTCTTGAAATATTTTTAAAAATTTTTTTGAAATTGTAATTTGCAATTTTGCTGAAATTCTATTAAAATTGTCTTGAAATTCTTTTGAAATATCCTTTAATTTCGTTTGAAAATCTTTTTTTTGACGTTTTCTTGAAGTTTTTTGGAAATTTTTTTGAAATTCTTTTTGAGTTAACAAACAAACAACAAAGGATTGACGATTATCTCAGGTTCGAGGTGTGGTTTGTGGTATAAAATTTTTTTTAAATTTCCTTTGTCTTTACATTTAGGGACCTACCTTTCCGTACTTCTACTAGCTAGCTCAGGCAACATTTAATTTCATTTCATTTAAAATTCTTTTGAAGTTTTAATTTGGATTTTTGCAATTTTGCTGAAATTCTGTTAAAATTTTTAAAAATAGGTTTGCAATTCTGTTATATTTTTAAAGCCTTTATTTCATTTTTTGTTATATTGTAGTATTATTGATATCATTAAAAAAAATTTGAAATTACATTGGAAATCAATTAAAGGTATGGATCTTTTCAAATTTTCGCGAAATTTTCGCGAAACCTTGTTAAAATAATCTGGTAATTTTTATGAAATTCTATTAACATTTTCTTGAAACTCTTGTGGTTGTATTTTCATAAATTTCATTTGAAATTCTTTCGAAATTTCTGTAAGTTTCTTGGAATTCTCTTCAAATTGTGTTAAGATTTTTTTATAATCTCGTTGAAGTTTTTTGTGTTTGCTGAAATTGTGTTAATTAAGGGTTTCAGAAATGGTTTTGCAATTTGTTTGATTTTCTGATATTTTTTTAAATTTTTCTCGAAATTCTATCGTGAAATTTTCGCAGTTGTATTGCAATATTATTGACATTTAAGAACAACATTTTTTAATTACATTGGAAATTAATTAAAGGTATCTTGAAATTGAAGTTCTCTTTTTAAAACTACTTTTGTATTTTTGAAATATTTAAAAAATTTTCTTTAATTTCATTTCATTTGAAATTCTTTTGAAGTTTGAATTTGGAGATTGCAATTTTGTTGAAATTCTGTTAAAATTTTTAAAAATGGTTTTGCAATTCTGTTATATTTTTAAAGCCTTTATTTAATTTTTTCGAAATTCTATAGTGAAATTTTCAAAGTTATATTGTATTATTGATATCATTAACAAAAATTTGAAATTACATTGGAAATTAATTAAAGGTATGGATCTTTTGAAATTTTCGCGAAATTCTCTTGAAATTTTCGCGAAACCTTGTTAAAATAATTTGGTAATTTTTCTGAAATTCTATTAACATTTTCGTGAAACTCTTGTGGTTGTATTTTGGTATTTTTGAAATATTTTTAAAATTTTCTTAAATTTCATTTGAAATTCTTTCGAAATTTCTGTAACTTTCTTGGAATTCTCTTCAAAAAATGTTTAAGATTTTTTTAAAATCCCGTTGAAGTTTTTTTTGTAATTTTGCTGAAATTAAGGGTTTCAAAAATGGTTTTGCAATTTGTTCACTTTTTTAATACTTTTTTTAATTTTTTTTCGAAATTCTATCGTGAAATTTTCGAAGTTGTATTGCAATATTATTGACATTTAAGAAAAAATGTTTTAATTACATTGGAAATTAATTAGAGGTAGGTGTGTATCTTGAAACTGACTTCAAAATTTTTTTTAATTTTCCGGAAGTTCTCTTAAAATTCTATTGAAATTTTTTCGAAACTATTTTGGTATTTTTGAAATATTTGAAAATGTTCTTTAATTTCAATTCATTTGAAATACTTTTCAAGTTTTAATTTGAAGTTTAGCAATTTTGCTAAAATTCTGTTAAAATTTTCTGTTGTATTGCAGTATTTTTTGATTTTTTTAAATTCCCTCAAAGTTATTTTGAGATTTATTTTAAAAAATAAAAACAAAATCGGCAAATTTCGGTTTTGTGACATATCTTCGAATTCAATCGGAATTTTGTGGTTTTCTTTAAAGCATGATAATAACTGCCTTAATGCGCAATTTTTTCCTAATTTGACCATCGTCGTATCTTCTATGGTATATTTCCCTGTATATTTCGATCTAAAAAGAGAGGATATTAAATTCTCCTTTCAAAAATATAACACGCAAGAGATGATATTCAAGAGAAATCTAAAAAAATTTAACAAAATTGTTATAAAGATAATTTTTCTACATTTTTGAATCAATATTCAATTTTTTGAGATATTTTTGAAAAGAAAATCTTATATGCTATCTTGTTACATAAAATATACAGGAAGTTCCATATAAAGAAATGAGGTTAGCCCATTAACTTTTTCACCTACTCCCGTATACTTATTTTGAAAACGGCAAATTATTCAACAATCATTATAAAGACTAAGAAAATATGGGACTATTTTTTATTTTCCCTTGTATCTCATAAGCAAGCGAATATTTTCAAATTTTAAGTGTCACCCCAAAATGGGCACCCTGTATAGTACTATCCTTACCTTTGTCGAATCCACATATTCAATTTTCTTATTCGTCATGCATCGATTTTACTGTGCGAGTGCGGGATTGACTAGACACCTCTTTGCGTACTGATATTTAAAATAGGCAGTAGGCTATGTTAATTGTGCGCATGCGCAGATGTGCAAAACCATCTCAAGAACAGCAATCGAGCATTGCGCATACGCGAAATTTTGTTTTTTGTGTTTTCTTGAATTTTTGGCAGACAGAGAGAAGAGACGTGGCACAAACGAAGTGGGCGCATGCGTATCATTAATTCTCTAGTAAATTGGTCCACTGTAACTATCTTATTTTTACACTATGAGTTATTTCGCACCTTTTTTGAAAACGTCAGCATATTCTCTTTGATTTTAATCTGTGACATTTTTGCAAAAGGTAAACAAGAGAATGTTCCACCACGCTCCGTCAAAGATCGATTGGGCGTACCGAACACAGTACCTCCAAACTCTAATAAAGTCTTAAATTTAGTTCAACCGAAAGCCGACAATGCAACCGACGAACCAGTAACGGACAAGGCGCAGCCGCACAACAATTTCACGAAAAACAATTTACCCGTCCTGAACAAAGAGGAGACAAAAGTACAGGCCGCGGCCGCCATAAAGAAGGGACAGGAACTGCTCGCCGCCAAAGAGAAACTTAAGAAAAATCAGGAGGAGAAACGAAAGGAGGCGCTGAAAATCACGCAGGACTTGCGCAAGCGCAAACAGGAGTTGCTGGAAAAGCAGCTGGCGCAGCAGAAGCTGCTCATCGACAAAGTGGAGAAAAGTAAGTAGTTTTTGCAGAGTTTCACAGTTTAACCGCTTAAATAGCACCAGCAGGTCCGCAAAGGGATCTTCTGCTACAGACGATAAAGAAATCGCAGGAGGCGACGGAAGCAATACGTAAAGACATGCTGTCGCAGCCGCTACCCGCTGTGAAACTACCGCAACGCAAGAGCAAAGAAGAAGTTCAGAAGGAGGTGTTGGACGCAGAGCTCGATTTAATCACGAAAGCGGCCGAAGGCGCCGACACCTCCGAGCTGCAGAAGAAGGTGATCGAATTGAAGGCGAAAATAAGCCTGGGCGCGAGACGGGCGAGTCGCGGTCGCCGCTTCAATCCGATCGGCCGACATTTACTGACGAAGAATAACCTGATTGATAGCGCGAAGTCGCCGACGGGCACTCGCAAGCAGCTTGCCTTTCCCAAGCACGCCGTCGATCATCGCACGACCAAAATTCTCGTGTCCGGGTACGAGGGCGACGAGCAGGAGAGCGTTCTCGCGCAATTTACCGTAAGCTTTTTTGAGGTTAGGTTGCGCGCGGCGTTCAGTTTTTTGCGTTTGCAGGGTTTCGGGGAGATAGTCGACTACGTCAGCGATCCGGTCACGCCTAGTATAGTTTTTAATTACAAGACGAGAAAAGACGCTGAAACGGCTCTGTTGAAGGGAAAAAATTTTCAAGTGAGTTTGCAAATCCAGTCTGTCAATTCTGTTCACGTCATTAATTATGCAGCATTGCCAAACCTGCAACACTTTTTTGAGGGTTAGGTTATGTGGAAAAAAACGCAAACGTCATTACGGTCTATTTTATGAAGAATCACTAAAATTTATGACATTCTCTGTATGTTGAATTGAATTTTTTCATTCGTTACTGTTTCTGATGCATCTTTCCACATGTTTGAGCGACTTTCAATGTTTATTAATACAATTGGATTAAAAATAAAATGGTAGGATATAATCGTAGAACTGCATGGCCATACTGCTCAGCTAATTGGTCCATAGGTAGACTTTTACTGCTTTATTTTACAAATCAAACAATATTTATATACAATTTTTAAAAACCGAATTTAATATGCTATCTATAGATTAAAATCTACAGGGTGTTCTATTTAAAAAAATTAGATTGGGTCCAATAATTATGCGAGGAAATATTTTCAAATTTTGATTTTATCATTTTTTTTAGGATCGTACCTTATCAATCACCTGGTGTAATAATTCACAGTTAAATAACCAGCTGAGCGGTAGGACGTCGACCCGAACCGTTTTAGTTAGCGAATCGGATGAGGATCATCTGATCGATTCTAATCTTATAGAATTTGATGGAAGCGAGGTAGGTTGTGTCTTTTTTAATGGTTTTCATGGGAAAAAAATTTGATCTAAGAGAAAAGTTCTGCAAGTAAACTACTTTTTTTGTAGAGTGTAGAATTATGTGCATCAAAATGTCTAATTTGAATTTATTGTTTATTGTTAAGACGCTCTTAGCTCCTCTCCCACCACTCGATTAGTTCCAAAACTACTCCTACTTGACATATGATCCAATTCAATCAACGAAATCACTCCACACTTCAACTGATATTTACAACTCACACCTAAGTGATCTAAATGAACGCAGAACTTGCATTTTTTTCTTCCACTTACGGTAATGAGCCAACCCACATAATTCCTGGGAACCTGATCTAATCTCGCGCCGAGCTGGAGGCCGATAATTTTATTGCGCCACTAAAACGTCCCATGAGATCCTATTCTTCGTATTACAGAAGTACGCTTAATTTTTTTAAAGACTATCTTTTCGTTCTTTAACCGGTTTTGAAATCTACCACTAGTCAATAGTAAGTTTTCAATTTAAATTTAATATTAACTTTCGGAATTCTTCTAACTGAGTTAAGTATATTAATTTTAAGTTTTCAAGTTGTCTGGCTGGCGCCAATTCGTTTACGGCACATTGACTACGTCAGTGGCGATTTTCCCAAATAGGACCCCTACAACTTGTTTATATTACCCATCTCTTCCTAAATTGAAATATGTACACCAAGCCAACTACCGTTACAACTTCCCGCACTGCATGTACAGTGTGTCCTATTTTGGTTGAGACTGCTGTTTTTAAAGATAGAGACCCTGTGCCACCTTGTTTTTTGTGAAACTTTAAACCACAAACAGAAATGCAGCACCCTGTATATCTTAACGTCAATTTTTTGCATTCCTTTTCCAACTCGGGCGCCACCAACGGATGCTGCAACCTTGCCCCTAGTGAATGCTAAAACAACATTAAAGCGCACAGCAATTTCCCTAAGCGGGAATAGTAAATAATCGGATTCAGTAGCGGTATCTACTGGGAAATAACAAGCAGGAAAATCAATGCAAAAGTGCAAAAAAAATCCCCTTGAAATTAATCGTTTACTGTATTGTATGTACACTTGCCAAAAAAACGTAGGAAAACCGGGCACGCTGGCGTATTCGGTTAAACTGTCAAACATTAAAAAATTTTTAATTAATTGTGCGGCCTGCTGACTTTCTAAACTCTGTAATTGATCTTAAAATCCAAATTAATTAAGAGCGTTTCTTTTGAGACCCCTCGCTACTGTTAATTACACTTACTTCAATGAGCGGGATGATCCATAATCCAATTGACACCTATTGTTAAGTGGAATGTTGGTATCAACCGGCCGAGTCGTCAATATCAAGCTGATAAAACCATTTTAAACCAATATCATCTAATAATTACTTAATAGGCCTTAAATTCTAAAATATTAATTTGCCCTCATCTTCTAAATGACATGAACTTTCGGACGCAACAAAGAGAATTGAAATATCTTGACGGGAACGGTTGCAAAAGGCGAATTATTTGCAGCTTTTGTTTACGGTAACGGCGCCTCGTATTTTTTTCTTTCAAAAAATTACCCAAATCTATAATTATGCGTGGTATCGCGGTATTATGTTGCTGTGTGTAATGGTATGCTGTCAAAAAACACCACCCAAACAGAACCTACCTAGGTAGCTCAAATTGCACCATTATTTTCTTTTTTTTTTTAAATTTATCTCGGGGTATGAAATTTGAAAGATTCGAAGGCCCCAATCGAATTCCGTCTTGTAATAATGAAAACGCTACTCGAATTTTGAAATAGATCAGAGATATCATTCGGTTAAAAAGACAAATCTGGCAGAAAACTAAAATTCAACCTGAATTTGGGTTCGAATTGACAATTCATTTATAAAAAACATTAAAAAGAAAACAAAATACAAAAGTCCTGTAACAAAAATTTTAACAGTACCTTTTTTTAACGTTACACTTCAACACTGGACGACCCGAAAACAGCCCCGTTTATTTCCTCTTTTTCATATTTAAAGGTGAAACCACCTCCATTCATAAGTTCCATATCCACCATTCCCACCGCCATCACCCGAACTCCAAACACCTGCATTCGTTATCTTGCACGTGGCGTTGTTAGTGAACAAGGCCAATGAATTTGTCCAATAACGCGTTTTTACGATACATCTGTTGAGATAAAACTTACCTTTCGTCTAATTCACGATTAAATTTTCTTTTATTTGTGCGTTCTAAAAATGATGATACCCGCTAAGTACAACAAATACTATTAAATGACTGAAACAATGACTAAATTTACAATTTAAAAAAACTAACATTAAACATGACAATTTTGTGTCTATTTGAAACATTTTACATCGAGGATGTCCCGACTGCTATTTCCAATGCCTAAACCGGAATTACGTTAACAACACGTACACTTACGCTTTTACAAAGAATTCTAAAAAGAAATACAAATTCAAGTAAAATAAGCCAACTTTATGTTTAAATTCATACATAAAAATTTTGACACTATCTGCAGAACGTTTTTCTCAAGGTCAAGGTTTAAAATGCACGATTGATTATACTTACAATATTTTTCAGCTTGACCCCAGCTTATCGGAGGAGGCTCTCCTTCACGACGACGAAGAGGAGGACGAAGACAACGAAGGTCGTTCGTGGAGGCGATAGCTTTCGAAGGAGACGATAATTGTTTTTAAAGAATTTTACACATTTGTATATTCACTCTAGTAGCTGATAGTAATACGTTACAAATAACTGGAAGATGTTTGTATATACCGATAAGAGATTTATTTAGTTTGCCTTCAGTTCATTTCATAATCACTCGTAATGTTTTTTTTTTCTTTTTGGGTAACCGTATGATAATTTTTAATTGTTTTTTTTTCTCCTAGCACACTTGCTTAAATAATCGTTTAATTTTAGGTATGCATTCGCTTTGTGAACTGTGTATTTGCGAGCGATCGCAAATGCGTGGGGTTTTTTTGTAAATTTTCTGTAAAAGTTAGAGTTAAAATGTGGTGTCCTAAAAGAATAAGAATGAGAAAAAAAGAATGAGAACGAGAACAGTAGTTAATTGTAAAAAAGAAATAATTTTATTTAATCGATAAAATAATATAAAAAATGTATAAATGTATGCATTATATAAAAGATAAGAGGACACACAAAAAAATATTAGGTTTTAAGAGAAAAAGAACCGTAACAAACGATACCAGGCGAAGGGAAAGGTAAAAGGGTATGTATTCGTCCCAATCAATTTGAAAAGTGCACAAATAATTGGTTTTTAATTTTCAGAAATCTTTTCTAACAAAAATAGAAGAAAATGCGGATGAAAGAACATCAGCATTGCCAAGCTGTGGCAATTAAATGAAGACTTCGAGATGCATTTTTGTATTGAGGGTTATTGTCATAGACCTGTCAATTCTGGTCATTTGTAACCGCCGCGCTTGCATGACCAGATAATGGATTGACTTTCTATTTTGTTAAACAAAGAATTTGTTTTTTTAAGGAAATTAAAAATAGTATTAGGTTATTTGCTCTGTTGACAATAAAGATTATTATTATTATTTTAATTTAGTTTTCTCGTTCAAAGGTAGGTTGTAACTTGGGCTCATTCTAATACGAAACATTAACACAAAACGTAAATTTATTCAAAAATTCATGTAACAGAAATTGGCGCTCAGGGTCAGAAACATACCCCACAACACAGACGGTTGATTGAAGCAGGTTAAATAAATAAGGTCTTAATTACCTTTCAATGTTAATAACTCAAAAATCTAATCTTACATTGCAGTTTCCAAGTCAAATGCGGATAAAAAAAACAAAGATTATACTAAAATTCGTCTCGGAAACTCCACTTCTTGTGTGGAAAAGGTTAGCGTCCCAGAATGGGTGGGTTAAGTCGGTCACCCGTGAATTAACTCAGGGTGCTTTTGATTGGTTTTAGAAGATTGACGTTGAGCCGTAAGCGAAGCTAAGTTGATCACCTGTAATTTATTGTAGAGTGGATTTTATTTGAACTCGAGGAAGCGATCGCCTGTAATTAATCGCAGGGTGTCTGTTGTATACATTAGTTTGCTAACTATAATAATCGGAAAGTGTATTATTTGCAAAGAAATTTCGTGCGTTTACGCCGGTAGCGAAGTTTATGTAAGTACATAAATAAAATAAAAGCGCATAAAATTGCGAATAGTGACTCAGTTACAAAGGGCTAACCTACGAATTGGAAACTATTACCATAAATACGAACGAACAGGTGGATTTTTAAATGTGCATTAAATTGGTACCTCATTTACAAAAGATAATTTACGGCTTACAAACTATTACGTTAAAAACGGTCAATGTATTTAATCCACAAAGAACTAAAATCGTGTAACATTAAATAAAGTGAGCTTGCGAATTTGCGACGAACTTCAGTAGTTCGCACGGAATGGTCAAATCGGGCGCCATCCAGGGATGCTGCCACTGCGCCCCTGGTCAAAGTCGGGTGTAGGAGTGGTTTGGCGTATCGGTCTCGGAAGACTCGGGCCACCTCAAACGGAGTAAATGTGGAAAGTGGAAATTACGAATCGTAACTCATTTTTCGCAGATAGATTCTAAACTGAAGAGCTTTGATTGCTCCTGCAAGATAGGTAACCCGCCCCTGGTTTTGGGGTTTCGAGCCTACAGTTGAATGTCGAAGACAATCACGGAATTAGGTGTACCTCAAATGGTTACAGTTTTTACCACCCCCGTGACTGCTTCATTCACGGAGAAAATTGTTAGTTACAATTGTTACAAACAATAAGTCAGTACATACATCAAACGAATCGGTAATTTCCACATATTAAAATAAAATGATCACAACTTATATCAATGTTACTTCAGGGACAAGACTAAGTAATCAACATCAATAAACACAAATTAAGCAAGCATTACACCAAAAACGTAAACAATTACAAACAAAAAGGATAACGGTATTAAACATGTCATTCTGCATTGCGGTTAAACCAAGTAAATTCCAAAAATAAAGATTGAAGCACAAAAATGATAAAATGCGGCATACTAAACACAAACACGATATAAAGAAATGCAAAAATTACTACCTGCATTAAATAACACAAAATATCAACAAACATGTATGGAGCGACGCGTTCACGACCGCCATTCAAGACAAGATGCCAAACGTAACCCCCATTCGTGCTTTCTAGATGGCGCAGACAACTTTTTCCCACTTAGAAATTGCATATGGTTGCTAACTCTCAAAAATGTATGTATCGTCGTAAGTTGTGTATTCAGGGTGGAACCCTCTTAGACCATGTGGAACCTCTCAAATTGTAAGGGTCAAGCGGGGGAGGGGGGGGGCTATTGATGAATACTAAAACTAAATTAATTGATGAATACTAAAACTAAATTAGAGCGCACAGCAATTTTCCTAATTTGGACCAACACAGCGTATTCGAATGAGGACTTTCAAAAATTACTTCTGACGTCCTAAACATTTGTAATTGGTTTTAAAATTCGCAAGTCAATTACAGGCGCGTCTTTTGATATCCCATATCCGACTGTGTGGAATGACGTTTACTGCAACACATCTATTTAGCTACTGTTAATTTCACTTACTTAATTGGCCGGATTGAAATTTCTAAAATTCCTCAGGTCGGTATAAAGGTGTGTTACTGTCAAACTGATAACGGCGCAAACTTGTATGCCGTTGCAGTTTTAATGGTCGTTTTAAATTAACATAGAAAACAAATACCTGCTAATAATAACTTAACTTGGCTGAAATATTAATTTGCCCTCGTCTTCTAAATGGCAAAGAGCTGTCGGACGCAACAAAAATAATTGAAATATCTTGACGGGAACGGTTGCAAACGGAGAATTGCAGCTTTATTTACGGTAGCGGCGATTGAAACACAACTCTAAGAATTAAATTTGCAGCTTCTATCTTCATGAACCAACACAAATACTTTCGACACGACCCCAGAGTATTATTTCGTAACGAAGCACCCAACTTAAAACACTTCTAGATACCGGGTGTTCAGCAGAGTCGGTCGAATCCACAAATATACGGTTTGGTCATAGCTTTAAGACGGAAAATAGGTTCTTCGTACTCCTCCTGCATCGCACTTTTTCTCAGCGCAGGTTGACTCAGTACTCTTGAGTGCATCATCCAAGGTATGCAGATTGTCGTCTTGCTTCGCCAGCTGCTTGTACTACAGTAGTGTGTGGGCCAAGACGATTGTAAAGTTGACATGATCATGCACCATTGAAATAAAAGACTAAGGAAGGAGCTTATTACTCTCGCCAGGAAAGATTGCCGCCCACAGCGCACCTTATGTCGATTTACAATAACCAAAAGCCTTTTCGTTCAACATTGCCACGATACTATTCCGGAAGTCGCTCGCATCTTAAAAAAAACATAGATTGCAGACCATGATCAGGTGTTCTGTGAGCGGCAATCTTTCCTGGCCAGAGGTTTATGTAATCCTCCTTCCTAGTCTTACTTTAATGGTATGCACTGACCTCTATTTAAAATCAGGGTCAGGATTTTGGTCTCTGTGATATAAATAGCAGAGATGTATTAGAACGGACGTGTATGAACAATGTACCGAGTTGTATGAAAATTGACCTCTCAGCCGCCAATTGTTTATATAGGTTAAGTTAAACAAAGTAAATCCGGTCTTTTAGAAAATCACTATTTTTTTGCAATTTCTGGTAAGTTTTACGAAAAATTGACTCCATTCGATTTTACAATTGACCTGGCACGAATTAGGTACGCATTAATTTACATAAACTTAACCCGCAGGAACTGGAACCTCAAAGACAATGGATGACTTTTTCAAAATAGAAAAAATTGGCGAGGGAACGTACGGGGTCGTGTACAAGGGGCGACATAAAAAAACCGGAAAAGTAGTTGCGATGAAAAAGATACGGTAAGTGCCGATCGTTCGTTCGCCTTGTTAATACCCACCGCTTGCGCAGTCTTGAGTCCGAAGACGACGGCGTGCCCTCGACCGCGATACGCGAGATCTCGCTACTGAAGGAGCTGCGCCATCCCAACATTGTAACTCTCGACGACGTGCTTATGGACGAGTCACGTCTTTATTTGATATTCGAATTTTTATCGATGGACTTGAAGAAGTACCTCGATAAACTGCAGAAGGAACTGATGGACCCGAAGCTCGTTCAAAGTTACCTGTACCAGATTAACGAGGCGATTTTGTTTTGCCACCAAAGGCGGGTTTTGCATCGCGATCTCAAGCCGCAAAATTTGCTCATCAGCAAGGACGGGTTGATTAAAGTAAGTGAAGTAGTGGAGTCATGCTAGGAAATAAAGGAAGAAAAAATGTTCACAATCACAGGACTATTAATATACACAGGGTGTTTTTTGGGAGCTTCAGGCTTGTTGCTTTAAATCACTGGCCCTATATAATTGCATTTTTAAATTCTTTTGATATCAGCATAACAATATCTACCATTTTTTCACTTTTACGAAAAATATAGTGGATGTACAGGGTACTTCCAAAATTCACTATTTGAAACATGAAAAATGAAAAAAGGCAATTTTTGATATATGTAGGTAAGTAATGTTTTGATTTTGGGTCCACCTTCTGAAGTTTTAGATCTCTCTTCTTAGTGAGAACTTGCAAAGGGATCAACACAGGTAAATATAGAGAAAGCCCCAAAGGTCCCAAATTTGATGTCATATTGATGGACGCATAGTGACATATTGCTAGTCAAAAAAATGCCAAAAAATTTAAACACCAAAAATGTCCAATATATTCCAAAAAATAAAGAATGCCCTTCTGGCATTATTATGAAATTGTTTTAATTTTTGTGTTACAATATAGATCAATCCAATTAATTCTGCCGTTAAAAGAGATCTACTCACAGAATAAACTCTCGCGAGTCGATCTCTTCAGGAATGTAAAATTGACTTTTAGCATATTTTTTATACAAAATCTCCAAAACGATCGACTTCTAATTTTACACAATGCAAAAAACAAATATCTTGCATTATCGCTACGTCGAAATTTTCCCCAGATTACAGTCGATTTTATCCTCTAAAATTCCAAAGCCTAAATTTGGCTACCGTCAAAGTTACCTCGCTCTCATGACGCGGACTGTTAAAAAATAAATACAGGTTTCAAAGGTTAACGATGTGGTGATTTTTGAAATTAACTCCATGTAAAGTTCAAAGGTTGCTCGCCGTTCAATGTCCAAATGTATTTTCTCAGAATAAATTATAAAGGGTGTTCTATTAAAAAAAATGAGGTTAGGTCCGATAACTTTTTTACCTGATCCCGTATACCTGTTTTGAATACGGCAGATTATTCAAAAATCATTATAAAGGAACTTTTGTAATATACATCTTCTGTATCTCTTTTAACTAAGTAAATTTAGGGACATTAACAAATTTTTGATTATCGCCCGTATTTCTTCAGCGAGCGCATATTTTTGGGTGATTGTTGAAATTAAGTCCGTGTAAAGTTCTAAGGTTGCTCGCCGTTCAAAGTTCAAAGGGTGGTCGTCGTTCAAAGTCCAAAGGTGATCGATCTTTCAAAGTCCCAAAATTCCTCACTGTTTCAACGTTTCTTATCACGGTGATGATGATGATCTTGAGGTATGAGGTCAAGGTGGAATTTCTCATTTCGGGGTGGTTTAGAAAAGTAGAACAAGCTTCCGATCAAATATCGCTCACCGCTCTGTTTCGCGACTGGATGTTAAATAAAGAATTCAGATTTGTTTAATCCTAATGATCATTTTCTAAACTGAAAGCCAGTTCAAGGACACATTATTAAGACATAAAACGTCTCGGATCGAAATATAGTGTTCATAGCTCAAAATATCGAAAAAGGTCAAGTTGTAAGCAATTAATGATACAGTGAGCAGATAATGTTAGATAAGTACGATTTTAAGGAAAACCGAAAGTTTTTCACGCCTACTACGTTGCGATTCTAGAAACAGTTCAAAGAAGACGATGGTCTGAACACCGATATGCACATGTTATTTTAAGCGTCGTAATTTTTGAAGTTTTGCACTTTGAACGTCGAGCAACCTTTGGACTTTGAACGACGAGCAAACGACTTTAAACGGTGGACAACCTTTGAAAAATCACACCAATCTTTGGACTTTGATCGGCGAGCAAACTTTGGACTTTGAACGGCGGCCAACATTTGGACTTTGAACGGCGAGCAACCTTTGAACTTTACACGGACTTCATTTCAAAGATCTCCACATCGTGAACCTTTGAGACCACTATTTAGTTTTGGAAGCCCTTGCCAACGCAGAAAAAATGAAGTTGACTTTGGAAAGGAAATATATCAGGGGGTCACGGACCTCTAATGACCTTGAAAACGAATGCCCTTTAGTTGCACCTTGACATATTTTCTGAGGAAATTTTTTGAAAGATGAACATTGCATTTTTTGTGTTATATGTTTGAAAAGAGAATTGAATATTCTATTAGAATAAAATATACAGGGTGTTCTGTGTGAGAAATTGAGGTTAGGTGATAACTTTTTACCTGGCCTCAGATACTTGTTTTGAAAACGGCAGATTATTCAAAATAAATTAATGCCGACGATCTTAGTTCTAATATCACCCGATTAACACAGGGATGGACTGAGGATCAATAATAAATTCTATCTATAATCATCAGAAACCGACTATTTTACGATTTTTGTGATTTTGATCTTCCCTTGTTTCAGGTGGCCGACTTCGGGCTCGGTCGCGCTTTCGGCGTGCCAGTTCGCGTTTACACTCACGAAGTGGTCACGCTGTGGTACCGCGCGCCCGAAATACTACTCGGATCGTCGCGCTACTCCTGCCCGATCGACGTCTGGTCGTTGGGCTGCATATTCGCCGAGATGGCGACGAAACGTCCCCTCTTTCAGGGCGATTCCGAAATCGATCAGCTCTTTCGGATATTCCGCGTGCTGATGACGCCCACCGAGGAGCTGTGGCCCGGCGTGTCCGCGCTGCCCGACTACAAGACCACCTTCCCGAATTGGACCAGCTACAGTTTGGACAGTCAGGTCAAGTGCCTGTCGGACAGCGGGCTCGATCTGTTGAAGCAGATGCTCGTGTACGATCCGGCCAAACGCATTTCGGCCAAGCGTATCGTCGCGCATCCGTATTTCGTGGATTTAGATCGATCGGTCAAGCCACAGTTTCCCGAATAACTTTGGCTGTGGTTTTAGTTTCTCATAACTGCCATAACTTGTGCCTTATTTTTTTATAGTATGATCTCGATTCAGTGTTAATAGGACAAGTTCGAATGTATTTTGGATGAATTCTTTGTATTTTTATACCTTAATCCTGCACTGTACATTTAGAAAATAGTGTAGTCTTTCTCGTCATTAAATTTCTACTGTTTACTTTTATTACAAGAAGGGAATTAGCAAGATCAAGTAAGTAATCATCGCGGTTTAGAAATGCAATTTTGTTTCAGAGTCTACTTTAATATTTATACTGCGTTACGTGTGTATATTCGGGATGAGTAAATGAAGCGGGTCAAAAAAGCTTATAATAGCGCGGAGTACGTATTATATACAAAAACCAATAAGTATGAGTGCAAATATTGGGAAGGAAGCATTCGTCCGCACTGCCAAATCTGGGCTGGTCGTGACTCGACGGGGATTCTATAGGCAGTCCGTGTAGAGCGCAACTGACGAATCAATTTCAATTCTAAATCTAAGAAACTCTAAGCGGAGAGTCTATAGCAGGGAGGAAAAAAATTATTCTGATTGAAAGCAGTACCACATCGCATCTAGAACCGGATCACACACATTCAGAGGTGTCACCCTGTATATACGACCTACGACGATGCACACATTTTTCAGAGCTGGAAACACGCAAATGTTAGAAGGGTACTATATACGTAACGGCATCTTCGTTTTAACTTTCGACGGGAAAGTGTGCAGTTTAAGTCTTCTTAAATGTAATAGTACTTGCATTTATTTATAATTTATTTTTGTATTTCATGCAACATCTTATATTTTTTATAATTTTCCGTCTTTGTTTTCGAAATTGACATTAACCTCAATGCATTACGTGTATGGGACATACCGTTAAGCTTTATTGTTTTCAAATCTTTTTCATTTTTTATGTAAGTGGCAAATAACTAACCGTATTGGTGTCGAACCTCGACTCTCAACTTTAGGCTTGAATTCCGTGGACGAAGGGCAAGTTACTTATTTCGGGGGCGAGATACTGCTAACAAAAACTCTTCGGTTTAGAATATATGTGAGATATATGAGTTGCGAATCACTGCACACATTTTGTCGTTAGTTTGATTTGACCAAGGCCATATAATTGTCCATCTTGCTTTTAAAAGAAAGGTTTTATTACACCAAAGATGAGTTCCCTGAGCGGGGAATTTTTAACCGTGCCCGCCGCATCTCCCAGGTGCCATTTTCTCAGAATCGATGCGAAATCGCTTCGTGAGGCTCTCAAATATTTCCGGAACCTATATTTCATATGGCTTCCAACCTCTGCTTCAAGCTGATTAAAACCACCTCGAAATTTTTCAGGTAGGATAGTATTAAGGGGTTATATTTCAAAGTCTCAAAAAACAGCAGGATATGGGGCGCCGTTTCTGTCATAATTATGCACCCGTAAAATATATTTCTGTTCGCTAAAATATTATTATTTATTGTTGTATATTGTATTTTTTGAACGTATATATAATAATTTGCACCAATATGTATATATTTCATCATCTACGGAAGACGTATATATTAGGCGCTTTCTTTCGGCTACTTCGCAATCATGATTTCAAAATCGTGATTCGTAGGATCGTATGCGGTTAAGTTTACGTAGTACACATATTTGCATTCGAATTACGTATTTTTTGTTTGAATTATGAAAATAATTTAAATTCAAGTGGAAGTACTTGCGCGATTATGCTCCTCTTCAGTTACAAATATGGACTAACCTAACATTTCAGCAAAAATATCCTTGCATTTATAGGTTAGGAATTCGTGATCATAAAACTTTTATGTTCAGTTTGTTCACGATTTTGGCAATCATGATTATAATATTACACTTCGAAAGAACGTGATTTGACAATCCAAACGCGTTTGGATCACCGAAAGAAAGCGCCTATTAGAATAAACAAAACGTATATATGAGATGTCTATATCCCTTTAAATACCCTGTATATTTCAACGTCGGATGCAACCGGTCAAGTATTTGGAGATTCTGGGGACATGAGCCACCGCCATCACCACCTGTCGATATTTTTTTGGTAGCTTCCGGAGGATGTTTGGGGATTTTAGGGTACTTGGCGTCACATCATCACTTGTTGTTTGTTAAAGCTTGGTGGTGGTGGGCTTTGTTGTATTTTGAGTTGTATTCATAGAGTTTAGCTTTGTGTTTGGTGTTGTGAGTTCAACCACTTTGGTGTCGGGTAAAGTATTTTATGTAGTTTACTCTTATGTACTCATTACTCATATGAATTGTGCCATTTGTTAAATCAGATATTTTCCAACCACCATTGTGTTAATACGTAATTTACAACATGCGAGGTGTTAACTAATATCCATGTGCTTGTGGAAGTCTACAAAATCTCAGGTTTAGACCACGTTTACTCAGTTACACGGTGCACGGGGGTGAACCTATGTCGAACCTCGACTTCCGTGAAGTAGGGCATGCAATGCTAGCTGTATTTAGTTTAGGGGGACTCGTAACATTCGCGAATGTGTGTGCCTTGTTGTATGTAACTAATATTTTTCTACCGTGAGAGGGAGCTCGGACGCTAGAATAGAAAGGTGTTCTAGAGCTAAGGCATAAAAGGATCCGAGGGCCCTCGAAACTCCAACTTTAGGGATGAAGTGCTGTAACAAAGGCCATCCTGCCCATGGGCGGCGACCCATCTCTTAACCACCTTCAGTTTTGTGTCGTTACGAGACCGATGTCCGGGAAGTGTTACGAAGCACAGGTAGTAGTTCCGGAAGTCTGGGTTTTATACCAATGTCATTATGTGGAAACTGAGCATAATTGAGGGCCCCACAAGCACACTGAGTATGGTCATAACTGCCTATTGTTACGTCACAACATGAATAATAGATCAGACGTGTTTTTACAAACGTCACACCACTCTATTCGGTATATAATGATATGAATAACTAGTAAGGTGACTTATACCAATAAATGCGTGAATGTGTTGCCCCTAACAATCTTAACTACGCTACGGGTTAATAAGCAAATGTGTTACATGTTCTGCTTTAGGTGGTTGGTGTTTTAATTTGCTTGTGATTAACATAGTGTAACGGAAACGCTCCAGACATGACGTCACCTTTGGCGCTCTGGAATTTTCTACGCGCGCGATAGTGGATTGTGTAGGACTATTCGAGAATGTACACGAATGTGCTGGACTTACATTGCTTGCGTGTATAAATGGTTGCGGACCGAACATCGCGACAGTCTACTACCGAACGAGATCGACCGCGGAAATATAAATTGCGAAGTGTGTGTGATAAATAATCGATATAAATTGTACGGTTTTTATAGTGTTTTAGTTTTGTTTAATAAATATTGATATAAATCGAACCCGAATTTATAAATCACGTTACATTGGTGTCAGAAGTGGGATTAATTAAATTAATTAAAAGTAAGCTTAAATTAAGTGCTTCTGCTTGTGTATGCCTGTAACAAGATCTGCTGCAGCTAAAATGGAAGAAACGATGCTCAATTTGCTCCAGCAAATCCAAAATGGCCAACAGGTGTTGCAACGAGAAAATGAAGAAAATTCTAGAAATATTCAAGAGAAGTTCGAGAAGTTGGAAGAAAATTCTAGAAATTAATTGAAGAGAAGTTTGAGAAGTTGGAAGAAAATTCTAGAAATATTCAAGAGAAGTTCGAGAAGATTGAGGAAAATTCTAGAAAAATGGACGAGAACTTCGAAAAGATGGAGGAAAATTCTAAAAAGATTATCGAAGAAGTCTAAATCAATTGAAGAAAAAGTTGAAGATAGAATTACGGAAGTTTCCAAAACATTGAAAGGTTCCACCCTGTATATACAGCTTACGACGATACATACATTTTTGAGAGTTGGCAACCATGCAATTTCTAGGTGGGAAAAAAAGTTGCCTGCGCCACCTAGAAAGCACGAACGGGAGTTACGTTTGGCATCTGGTCTTGAATGGAGGTAGTGAACGTTTCGCTCCATAAATGTTTGTTGTTATTTTGTGTTATTTAATGCAGGTAGTAATTTTTGCATTTCTTTATATCGTATTTGTGTTTTGTATTCCGCATTTTATATTTGTTGTGTGTTTGAATCTCTGTTTTTGAAATTTACTTTGTTTAACCGCAATGCAATCATATGTGTGATACCGTTATGCTATTGTTTTTAATTGTTTACATTTTTGGTGTAATGTTTGCTTAATTTATGTTTATTGATGTTGATTACTTGGTCTTGTCCTTGAAGTTACATTCATATAAGTTTTCATTTTATTTTAATACTTATGTGGAAATTGCTGATTCGTTTGATGTGTGTACTGACTTGTTGTATGTTACTAACAATTTTCTCCGTGAATGAAGCAGTCTCGGGAAGGTGGAAAAAGAAACTGTAGTCTATATTTATGTGTTAGGGCACCTAATTCCGTGCACTGTCTTCGACATCCAACTGTAGGTTCGAAACCCCGAAACCAGGGGCGGACTACCCATCTTGCAGGAGCGAGATTACGCTAATCAAAGCTCTTCAGTTTAGAATCTATGTGTGATAAATGAGTGGCGATTCAATAATTTCCACATATTTTGTTTTTGGTCAAATTTGCCTACAAGGCCATGTAGTTTTCCATCTTGCTTTCAACAAAAGGACTTTATTGCACCACAGATGAGTCACATCCTGTACTTTTAACCCTTTCTCAGAATCTTGGTACCTGCTTCTACCTGACCCATTGTCCCCAAAAACTTGCTTTTAACCTTGAGTGTAACCATCCTTGTGTATATGCATTTACTATCTTTGTTAACTACTGCTTAAACTTTTACAAAATATTTTGTTAATTAACTTTTGGACTGTTTTAATCAAACTGCAAGGTTTTTCTTACGTCGTACTCTTTTTATCCTTGGCAGTGACTTTTGCGAGAGTACGACACCTTTTGGCTTTGTTTGTTTTGTTTATATTAATGTACATCAACTAAATTTCCGGGTTTTCACAATCATAATAATTACGATCATTATTAAACAAACTTCTCACAATTTCAGTGTTTTATTTAAAATTCCTTCCCTACTGTGCTTCAGGTCAAAGCGTTATCTATAACTAACGTAAGGGGGCCCTGCCTTAGATGTTTTATCACGTGCCACTTTTCAAATTTAAGCGGGATCTTGTTAAGTTTTAGAGGGAATAGTAATTCGGGTGGCCATTTTTAAACGTTGCCGG